GCTGAATTGGAATAGCCTTTTGAGAACAAAAATCGAAATTTTATCTATTAGAAAAATGATATTCAAGTTTTTTCCCAGGTGCTCCGACTAATTTGAGTGGCAACTCTTTGGATGACATGTAGGATTATCCTCCTTAAAATAATATTCAAATGGATTTTTGGCAGATTTTACAAAGTTAACTTCTAGGCAGAAAAATGAATTCTTTTATTAGAATTCGACTTTAGAAGAGGAAATTTTTAGATTGTATTTAACCATCGTATTACTCTTATGTAATAATACGAAGTAGCTGTAAGAATATTTCGCTCTTGGGAAACCTATGAAAATGTAGAAGAGTGGCAAAAAGAAAGATAACGCTTACTTTCATTTCCCCTTTTTCTGTTAGAGGACATGGTTGTAAATCACTTGTTGATTTTTGTAGAACACTATCTGTTGTTAAATGTGCTAAAACGTCAATGCTATAAGTTGGCTAAACATGAACAAAAGAATACATTTAACATAGAAGACTATTCAAAATTCATACTTTTTCACCGGCTTTTTTATGAAAATTAAGTACAACACACCAATCAAAATTTAGATCACCATATTTAACCTAAAAAAAAATCATAATTTTATATTTAAATAAAATGTAATGATTAAAGAAAAAACTTCAATCATAATTTGACAACTAATCCTATCGAACAACAGCCCTATTGATTCCTACCGGAATAAGAGGAAATGATTTGTTCCCGGTAAAAAGCTATCTTGAAGACATTTATGACAAATCAATGTATAGTGTCATCGGTTGGCCGTAGAAAGGCCGAAAGGAAAAATATCGAAAGGGAAAAATGTCGAATGGATAAATGTCGAAGAGAAAAATGTCGAAAAGGAAAAATGTCGAAAGAAAAATATCGAAAAGGAAAAATGTCGAAAACAGAAAAGATAAAAAAAGCGACGTCTACTAAATGAAGGTTCTAATAGTTTGTTGTTCATTGTTGTTGATCTGATTATTCCATTGGTTTGACAATGATAGCCCTTGATACTATTGATAAGTAATATCTTATGAAAACTAGCTAAAATAGGCGTAAAATAGTATACAACGATTAAAATTTTATCATGATGACTACAGCTTGCTCATTTTTATCTGGTGAGAATCATCCGCCAACTCCAGTTATTTCATTTATTCAGTCGTAAAAAGGAAAACCTTTCCTTGTATCAGATAAATATATTTTCAAACTGAATACAACAGCAACAACTAGTAAATATTGGATATGTGTATTTTTCTTTATAACTCTTATTTATCTATGATCTATGCTATGATGCTATTATGATTTCAAGAATAAAAATATCTTAGTGCAAATTTTCGATATTTTTCCCTTTCGATATTTTTTCTTTCGATATTTTTCCTTCGACATTTTTCTTTCGACATTTTTCCTTTCGTCATTTTCTATATTTTTCCTTTCGATATTTTTCCCTTTCGACATTTTTCCTTTCGGTCTTTCTACGGCACACCGTGTCATCTTATGATTGCGTAATCATAATCATAGTAGCAAAAAATCAATCATGCACCAGTTTGTTCTCCTGTCTGATAGCCTGTGGATAGTAATTAGCTATAGAAGAATGATTCTTGAAATCAAATTTTCAGATTCTCATACTTTAATTTTGCATTAGATTGATGTGACAATAAAACAATAGCGGCTTCTTTTCTTCCGGGTAACTTACTGTAACGAGTCTACCAGGTTGAAGAAATGGTAATAAATATTTCGGTTCATTCATCATAACAGACATTTGATCTTGTACAAGTTCGAGTTTCTTTTTTAATTTATAATACCGAGCAACTTCTTCTTCATTTTCAATTTTCATTGCTTCATATTGTTGTTCGCAATTTTTCAATTCTATAATTAAATATTTTTGAAATGAATAAAAAACTCCTAGCCGAAAAGTCTTACTCTCAACGAGTGCCGGTATAGTTGAATAGTGTTGAAATTGATAGAATGATCTTTCAAGCATAAATTCTGGATTGATACCTTCGACACGTAATAAATTCAATACCATATTATATGTTAATTTGAATGAACTATTTAACGCATCAGCTTTTCCCTAAGATAGTAAATTTTTAAATACATCACAAGTGAAACAAAAAATTTCTTCTCCGACTTTGACAATTTCTTTAGCTGTTGTTGGACTCATTCTTTCATCAATAATTAAAACAACAATACCACGATCATCTTTACCACGACGACCAGCACGACCACTCATTTGAATATATTCACCTGATGTTATCTTAAAATAGAAGCTTAAATTCAATTTTTTTTTCTTCAATTCTATTTACCCATCGTAGTTCTTTTCCATCAAATTTTCTAGCGGCTGTAAATAATACAGTACGAGCTGGCATATTTAAACCCATACTAAATGTTTCCGTGGCAAATAATGCTTTAATAAGACCTTCGCCAAACAGAATTTCAATTGTCTCTTTAATGATTGGTAATAAACCTGAATGATGAATACCAACACCTTTCTTTAATAATGGTAATACAGTGTTTATCTGTGGTAATGTTTTATCTTCATCAGATAATAAATCGATTGCATTTGTAAATACTTCTTCAACAAGGCGTTTCTCATCGTCTACGAAAAGAAAAATATTTTCATGGTTGAATATGATGCCATCGATATTTTCTGCAACATACCAGAGTTAAAATCAAGTTTAGCTATAGCACATGCATAAGATTCACAATCTTTTTTACTAAAACTAAAGACAATAACCGGTGCTAAATTTCGTTCCATAATCATTTTAACAATTTTGAATACATTTGTTTCAGCTAATTGAAAAACAAACAAGAGAAACTAGTTTACGAATTCAATTTCCAATACAATTACCTTTAAAACCACCGCGACGTCCACGTTTATCACCTTTGGCTGCATCGCCAACATCACGCAAGGTTGCCATAGCTGCACTAAAATTATCTTCACGAAATTTCCCCTAAAACGAACTCAAGCTAAAAAATATGGAAAACAATCGAACCAAAATTACCGTTTCATCAACAACTAAATGAAGACCATCGGCACCAGCTGGATAGATATAATGATGTAGAGGCACTGGTCGCATATCAGTATAAACAACATGACAAGGCTATAAGCGACATCAGTGTTTCGATAGTTTAATTCTGAAAACGTTTTCTCTTACTTGATTATGTAAATATGAAATCCATTCTGCAAATTGCTTAGCATTCGGAATGGTAGCAGACAAAAATACATAATGCACATTATCGGGTAATAAAATAATTGTTTCTTCCCATATAACACCACGTTCTTAAAAGAAAGAACAAAAAAGAGCATTAGAAATTATTTTTATTCATTCATACCTTTATCACGAAGATAGTGAATTTCATCAAAAATAACCCAAGCGACTTCTCGGGTTATTTCTGAGCCACGATAAAGCATAGATCGAAGAATCTATAACAAAAACTCGTGGGTTTTCTTTCTTCGAACCATAGTCAATATTTACTTCTGTTGTCATGATAAGACATGATGCTGATGGATTAAGTGTAACATCTCCAGTCATAAGACCAACATCTTTGAATTCTTCGTGTAATTCACGATATTTTTGGTTACTTAATGCTTTTATAGGTGTTGTATATATTACACGTTGTTTATCACGTAATGCCATTGCAACAGCATATCTAATTGATGTTGTTTTTTTTTAAATGTCAAATGATTGAAATGGCAAATACGAATTTCAACTTACTCAGCAACAACTGTTTTACCAGCTGATGTATGAGCTGAAACCAGTACAGATTGATTGTTTTGTAAACATGATATTGCTTCACGTTGAAATGGATCAAGAGTAAATTTATATTCTTTAGCTGGTGGACCCACTGGCGCTTTCAATGGTTCAAAATCACAATTTGGTGGTAGAACAACCTGATATAAAAAGGAAAGAAATTTTCTAAGATTAAAATAACATAGAAAACAAACTTCATGTAAACATGATTCAATTGTTTCAACCGTATGAAATTTCATTCGTGGAATATTATCAAAAAAACTAATTTAAATAAGTAATAATTTTAACGAAAAAAGTCTGTTTTGTTTTTGTTTTACCTTCCAGTTCCAGTTTCCATAGGGATGTCAGTTCGAGAACGTTTCAAACTAAAATCCATTTTGTTGTCATCATCACCATCATCATCTTCTTCTAAGGATCGTTTATCTTTTGACGTTGTATCACCATTAGTGTCATCTCTGGAATGAAATATTATTTCTTTTATCAATTAACGAAACAGATTGCCTTCAAAACTGATTTGAAACCACTGGCACTTATTTTTGTTGCGAACATTTTATCTCAATCTTCAATACCAAACCACTGTCAATGGCAAATATACGAAAGAGAATGGTCATGATTTCAGAGAGGAAACTTTTCTCTCAAAAGAAGTAACTGGCTAATTAATTGGACAAAGTGTAAAAAGAAAATGACATCTGATTCCTTAAGATTTTCTTAAAAGAAAAGTATCTAAATGATTCTTTAGCTTACATGATCGCTGCAGTTTTTGTCTTTGGCGTAGTTGATCCATTTGTAACTATTTCAACCATAGGAGCCGGTTCGTCTTGATCAAAGACATCAAAAAGTGCATCGTCACTCATTTATATTTGTCTAAAAATAATAATTTTCCATCGTTTTCTCTTCATATACATGAAAAAATCATACAAAAGAAATTTTCAATTCTATCACTAACATAATGAGTTAAATTCAAAAACGACGCTCATCATCAAACTCTATAGTGTTGATGTTTTCAATCCATTTACGAAACAGATTGTCTAGATGGGAAATTAATTTGTTCAATAGAAAAGAAGTTCTGGACTTAGATTAAACACCGATCCATTGACTTTCGAAATTTCTTTCTATTCTCATTGGTTCATAAATCGGCCAATCTCATAGAACCTTGACATCGCTCGGCAACCATCAATCAATGAACATTTGCAATGGTTTCATTCAGTATTCTCTTAAATATAAAATTCATTTTTAACGCAAAATGACGGCTGGGTCAATATCAGCTCCCTCTATTATCCCTTTACGCTCTGTTCAATATGGTCAAACACAAAAATTTACTATTAATACAAATACATTAATTGAAATTTCGAGTGAAACAAAAGAGGTCGATATTTATTATTCGTTGGATGGTTCAAAACCAGATCCATTTACAACATTAACTACACGACGTTCAACAATACAATACAGAAAGCCTTTTCATATTTCAAAACAAATTGCTAGTGCAGGAAAAGTAACCATTAAAGCGATAGCAGTTTCAAAGTAAAAGATTTTTGTTGCCAAAAAAAAAACAGTAAAATGATTTGACGCTTGTGTTTCTGTTTATTTAGAGATGGTATTCGAGAGAGTGTTGTTGTTACGAAAACATTTGATGTACAATCTGTTGATTCAGAACAATCACCAGCAGACGAACATGAAAATAAATTTGTTTATGAAATACAACAAGAAAAAAAGGTAGATCTTTTAAAAATCAATAAATAAGATTTCTATTTGGAATTCGATCATCGAACATTAACTGTAACAATAGAAAAAGAAAATATATGAGTTTAGTGTTTTTAGTTACAATTTATATGAGCTAGATAGGCTCTTGTATTGTTATGTCAACAATCAGTGCTTTTATTAAGGTCATCAAATATGAAAGATATACATTGCGTATTTCAGTCAAAAGTAAATATTATTATCTAACCCTGTGAAATTGATAACAGCGAAGAAGACATGAAGTCAAACAATTTGACATAGTATCCTTACCATAAAAATTTCTATTCAGATACAAAATTTTTGCTAGGGCACGAAAAATATATATGTACGTTCACAGACGCAAACTATTCAAATCACGAAATTTCACACATGTGGAGTTAACTTGAACTGCAAAAATTCACACTCGAAATTTTTTTGACATATGTAATTCAACAGTTCTCTAGTTAAATTTGATAGTATGGCTCAAATAAGTTTCATTGTTGCGATGTTTGTAATCTTTTGCAATTGATATGTATACACAAGGATTTTGTATAGTAGCGATGCGATACAAAAAGTATGAAGAGACAAGATCGTAAAAGCTATAATATAGATAAAAGCTCATTAAAATGACGCAATTAAAAGGTTGAGCGTGTTTATTCGAGCATTATCGCATACAAAACCTACAACATTTTATCTTTCTGTAGAAAATATGGCATTCGCCACTTAAGCTTATTGACAAAAGATTGGCGTGAGCTAAAAAGAGATAATTTTCTTCGCTGTTAAAATTTCTTTGAGAACTTTATCCGAATAAGAACAGTTACTTTTTCGATTGACATATACTGATTGAAGTCAAACAAAAATGTGCATCCTTCACGAAAGGCCAGATTGGAAAAAACCATAAAAATGTTCTTTTTTTTCTCAAATTTTATTTTACAAATATTATTCTTGCCTTTAACAAATAGAGAAAAAAACCGCTAAGAAACACTGTATTGATGACCAATCACTCCTTAGCAATAACAACTAGAATACATAAGAGGAAGATTTTCACTGGTTGAACCTAAACTCTGTCTGAACAAGTACTTTTGAATTTTTGAAATAATAGATTCGAATGAAAAGTTTCTCGATTCTATATAATAACAAAAAAAAAACGTTCGTAAAACAGTTTCATCTATTAAAGACAACATTGATGAACAAAGCACGATGTTCAAGTGCGTTGATTGCACTATCTTGAGTGTATGATAATCATTGTGCCATAGGCCTAAAAAGCTCTTGTCTATTACTCTTATAAGTTTCCTATGTTTTTTTTTTCTACAATGAACAGTTAAGTCTATTTCGTTGACAATAGGCTGTACCGTACACTTGAATAAAAATATTTTTATTGATAGGAATTAATAAAAAAAACTCAAGATGAAAATCAACAAATGCAACAAAAACTGTCAGGTATTAAAAACGAGAATTCTCGTCATGGTATATAATAAAAATTTTATTAACTAGAATCAATGCGTCGTTCAGCTAATGAATCTATTGTACAAGAAAAGCCACCTCGTTATATCTATCCTGATCCGCAAGCGCAAGCAGGTCGTCTTCAAAAGCAAATCGATTTTCTTCGGTTTGTCTTGACGGATTTTAAACAAAAATGAACAAAATTTCATTTTTATTCTTTTACACATTCAGATGTGCTCATTGTTTTGCAGCCAGAACAGGAGATTTGAATGCCAGATTCTGCAGCGAATGTGGTCTTCCATGGCAAAACCTTACTCAAACTCAATCTCGACTAAATCAATCAGATAGTCATTCGGTACTAAAGAAAATTCAATGAAATAAAAATCTACGATTTCTTTTAGCTTGGCACATGTGCGAATTGTAAATCAACAGTTCCATTTAATTCGGACATATGCGTTGTTTGCGAAACACCGCTTTCACCGGAATATCAACATCGAGTTAATGTTCAAAATCAGGTCCGTTTTTCTTCAACAACTCTATCTATTCCGTTAATAAAACATTGCTTTTTTTTCTTGAAGACAAAAATTCTATGTCCCCAATGTAAAGCAACGAATCCCGTACATTTACGAACATGTATGATTTGTGAAAGTAAATTAATGCCAAGTACATCTCCTGTAAATAAATTTACATTTTCATATTCTCTTTTTGTCGCACGGTTTTTTTTTGTTTTCAATAGCAAGTTCAAGCAACAGTTTCTGTTCCGCTAGCACCGAAGCCAATAGGCACCATGATGACATGTTCGAAATGTTTTCGTTTGAATAATGCTGATGCTCGATTTTGTGATTGGTGCGGTGCGCAGCCCGAAAAATCTTCCGTGCCATTACAATGTACAAAATGTCGTTCTGAAAATGATCCATATGCGAAGTTTTGTTTAACCTGCGGTTGTGTTATTGAACCACCACTACGTGTCATTGATGCACGTCTTAGAAATGATTTAAATATTTCAGCTTCATCAGTCATCGGTGGTGTAAGTTGAATGACTTGTAATTTTAATTTTAATCGAGAGAATAATTTGATTATGTTTCGTTTAATAGACGTTAACGCGCCCATCAGCTTGTCCAACGTGGCTGAATGCGAATGCAACATTTAGTCATTATCGTCAACCTTATTTAATAACAAAAAGTGAAGCTTCAACGCAAACACATGGAATTTATTATCCGAGTGCGAAAGAAATCGATGTTTTAATTGCACAAAATAAACAATTACAAGCAGATAGGGAATTCAAAGAACGTCGACCAATATTAACAGCCATTAGTCCAGGAAAAGGATATTGGAGACAACAAATGGATCATGTTTGTGCGCATCTAAAAGCATACGCAGTTAATCGACCTGATTTTCGATCATTGATTGGTAATTGATAAAATTTTACGAAGAAACTAGTCACTCATTTTTCGAGCAATCTAAGACAAAAAAGACGTTAGCCACCGTGATTAAACAATGTAGAGGAGTATCAGCGCTGTAAAACAAAATGAGAAATTAAAATAAGGAAGCCGTTCCTATGATAGTTATCATTAGTTTCAATATTTTGACATAATCTGATAACAGCTACTTTTCTGTTTTTGAACAATAAGTGATCGCGTTGTTGTGCGAAGATTTTTTTCATGATACAGTAATGTTTGACTTGAATTTTAGTTGGCGAACACTGATATTTTTGTCTTTTCAATGCTGATTAATCATTTAATATGAGATAGGAGCTAATTTATGAATTTATTCTTTTCTAAATCACTGATTAGCAGAATCATTAAAAGCGAGAACTATCCTAAAAAAAAGTAAATCATTTTAGGTGAACCTCGTATGAGTAAAATGATTCATGCAACCGTACATGAAAATGAATATCAAGTAACCGTTCAAGCTGTATTTCGTAAACCAGAAAATCTTTCTCAATCAGCCTTTTACATTGATGAAACGAATGGAAATCATTCAATGAATAGTGAACGAAGTTCAACATTTTCCAGTACATTTAATTCTGATGGTAAAGTTTTATACGAAATAAATACGTACAATAAATTCTAATCAACCGTTATTCTTGTAGATGAATATACACGAGAAAAACCTCAAGCAACAAAAGTTAAAAAGCGTTCAAGAAAACGACCACAATCAGCTGGTGTTACTGGGAACGATAGCGTAAGATTTGAACATAGTTTTCATATATCATATTAAATTGTTTCCATCGAATCTGTTTTAAGCAACCAAATCGTGCCTTGCTTAAATTACTTGACAAGAAAGCTGGTAGCGACAGTAAAAAATCATCAGATCAAGTCGATATACTTCAAGAAGTCAAACAATTATTAAAAGAAGGTGCCAATGCTAATTTACGTAATAAAGAAGGCTATACTGTACTTCAATTGGCAATAAGAAATCATCATAATGAATGTTTGGATACATTGATTAAAGATGGCAAAGCTAAATTAGATTCAAGAGGACCGTAAGTAATAGAATTTCAATGAAATTTCTTATTGTTAATAGTAAATAAATGAATCGAACTGAAATTTTATTATAGAATTATATTTCTTTAAGAGGTCAAATATCATTGATGATAAAAATCAATGAGTATACTCAAGGTTTGATTGAACAGAAATCAAAAACTTTCTACTCAATTTCTAAACCTCCTATTGACGCCTTATCGAATATCTGAATAAGTGGTTTTGCTCTCACAAATCTCTATGAATAGTTTTTCTGCAGCAGTTTTTGTTTTTTTTGTTCTATTCACGTTTTTTAGACGAGGTAATACAGCTTTGCATGAATGCTGTTTACTTGGGTATGATGGCATTGAACCATTGAAAATTCTTCTAAAGTAGTTATTGTTTTTTTTTTGGTATGAAAAGAAAACGAAATTTAAATTTTCTTTCTTTCTCAAGGAATGGAGGTGACGTCAGTTGGATGAACGATAGAAAAGAGACTGTTATTGATGTTGCAGTAAAAGCCAATTGTCCAGATTTAATGCAAATTATGGCATCACATCATGGCCAACAGTTGATCGATCGGCAAATGAAAATCTATAATGATCATTCACGAACGACAATTACCGATGGTCATCATTCATCGTAGAAGAAAATCTTAAAAAATACTCATAATTTCTTTTTTTTTCTCTCTCTCTCTCTCTCTCTCTTTTGTTCCATAGGATAACATTTCTTTTTTGTCGCTGTAGCTTTCGTTTTTGTCTATGTTTTAAAATGGGGAAATAAAGCAAAAAGATATGTTGTTCGTTGTGTTTTTATCTTCTTAATTCTAACAATTTTCAGCGTGTTCACTATTGAGTATTGTGTGCTTTGCATATTGTTTTTAACTGTTAACATTAAAAGGAATTTCACGAGATTTCATTTGACTATCACGTATTGACAACTATCAACAAAACAAAATAATAAATCCATGTACAAAATACTTCAGATATCAAAGATATGTGTATGTATCAATCTATCGATCAATGATCATGATGCGAACCAATGAAAAAGTCAACCAATCAATGGCAAATTGAAAAATACAAATGTAAGGTTTTATTTTCTCGTAAATTCACAAGGATTTAAATTGAGTACTGATAGGGAAAAAACTATTGATTCCTATCTGTGCATTCAATGGAAAATTGCAATTGTTTATGAGACTAAAATTTGAATAGAAATGGCGAAGTTAATTGCCAGGGCTTTTTCGTATCACTCAAATAGTCAAAAGCTGAAGAATGACACGTTTTGTTATTGTCAAAGATAAGATGTTATGAAAATTTTCTACACACGCTTCATCTTATCAATACTATCCGTCTACGATATGCACACAATATATTCCTTTTTTACAATCATATGGCCAACTATTTGTCTCAATAGTTTCTGCCTGTTAAATGATTATTGAGTAGATTTCTTCTATGACATGGAAAAACTAGAGAAGTTTATTTTTTCTTCGTCTTACTAATGTTAAAATGTGTGTGACATGTTTAGTGAAAAAATAAAGTTTCTGTCAAGTACTAACAAATTGTAATTTTTGTGGCATCAACTACCTTGAAAGGAGAACATTAATGAAGCCAATGTAAAGTTTTTTTTCTCACATATCAAAATGAAATTTTCGAACGTGCCTAATTCGATAAATCAATCACATATCAGCTTTTAGAAACCTTATGAGATGTAAAATATAATTTTAATAAAAACACTAATGCTCTCGTTTTTCAATTCAAGTAACGATAAGGATTTTCTCGGTGTGAGCTTTTGAAATCCATGGCAACCGTCGTCGACTATTTTTCTTTTAATTAAAGGTTTCGCGTTGTATGAAAATGTTTGCTCTGTCTTATCCGATGTTAAACGATAAGAAGTAAGGCAACAATTTCATGTGCTATAATGCCGCATGGAGAAAAAAAAACGATGACCATGTAAGGAAAAAAATGAATCTACATCAACATCACGTATCGTAAATCTTGCATGATATATCTTTTGTAGTCTAGTCTAACACTGTTATGTATTAGATAGTGAAAAAGTAGTGCACACAAATACTTATTCTCATAGTAGAGAATTTAGTTTTAATGATATCAATGTAACTCTATTGATAATTTTTAGATTGAAATTTTGAATTAGATATGGCTTCTTCTTCATCATCACCTTCACCAATTTTTACCAGAAAGTCAACTGACCAAAAAGATGCAGTACTTTCGCCAATGCAACGAAAACGACGACAACATCGAGGTTCTACTCAGAAATCTTTTTCACATTCGTCCGACACGGATGATGATGATGATGATGATGATGCTGATGATGATGACGATGAGGAGAACGATGATGCTGCTATTGAATTGTTAGATGAACAAACAACATCATCTGCTCTTTACGAAGTCAACGGTTTGTTTTTTTTTGTTTTATAATTAATATTTATTTATCGTTGGAAATTAGATGCTCTTTTGAGTGTATTAAAATCACATATTGAATTGATAGGTTTGTTTAGAAAATTCAAAGTTAATTTTTGCGTATATGTTCCAAAAAAAATAAGCTTTTTTTCTGCTTGATCGGAGAATAACAAACGTTTTGTTCGTCCGAACAAAATGTTCATCTTTTAAAAGCGGTTTACATTTCTCCTTGAAATAAATATATTTCTCCTTGGTCGCATTATAAATTATACATCAAGCAATTCAAGTCTAAATTTGTCAAATGAATTGCTTTGAATAGTCAGAGAGAAAAACTAATAACATGTCAATGTGTATTTTGTTTCACAAAAAAACAGTATGACAACAAATTCCATTAAGGTTTGAATTCAACAGCTAGTAAAGTAAAATTTTTTGCTAAACTTCTAATTGTTTAAGTTGTCTATTCTTCTTAATATTTTACTTATTCACTCAAACGCACAAAAACCACTTCACCTTTCAACTATCGTCTAATAGGAAATGGTGACCTTTATTAACAAGTGTCAACATAAATAGATGGACTTGAACTAACAGATTATGAGTTGTGCGTAAATCTTTTTCCACTGAGATCAACCTCGGATAAAAATATATATACACAAATCAAGAGTACCATAGTATCAGTATCGCAGGGTTACCGTTCAATTGTGTAATCTTCTTCATTCTTGACTTTTTTTTGTATCCTACAGATGTGTATACACTTCTGATTTTTTTCTTTTTCCTCTCAGCAATAACTATCGAAAGAATGAACCGCTTGATGAACAAATAATACCTTTCGTTACCGTTGATGCACCTTCTTGACTTCGTCTTTTTTTGACTTAATATCACTCGAAAAGAACGGCGAACGTGTGAGGTGAGCAAAACGTTAGTAATATTGATGTATTTTTAAAATTGATGGCTCATATGTAGTTAAAAGGAATCGTTTAAGTTAGAATCACTGCCTTTTTCTTTCTTCTTCTCTATATAAAACACTTGATGCATTGCATTCATCGTATGTTTTGGCAAGAAGAAACCTCGAAAGGTTTATTCTAAAGTAGTACGAGACTATTCCGATGAATTATGAAGAAATCGAAACCAATCGACGCAACGCTTCGTAAATGATTATATAATTATTTTCTTTTGTCTTGGCTATTTTTAGCATCAACACATCGACATATCAATAGGCATAAAAAGGCAAAAGAAAAAGATTATCAAACATCTCAGAGAAATAATAACAATAAGCGTGATCATAGTTCACAACAGGTAAGGTTTTTCTTCGATTAACTCCTTTCATTTTCTTTAGTTTTCTTTATTCGTTTTCATTTTTTGCTTATTTTTCTTTCTCGCTTAATGAAGACAAAATGAATTTGAAGTATGTTGTTTCTATCTTTTATTTTCTTTTACTTTTGTTCGCGTGGGGTCTCTTCTTGCAAACACAAAATCTTTTCTCGTGTCGTATAGTGATTTATTGCAGCCAGTTCTATTTTTTTGGTTTGCTAATACAAAAAATCTCCTTTTTTTCTTCTCTTATAAAACAAAACGACGATAAAAAAAATCCGAACGATTGTATTAAGATGATGTTTGTGACAGTCAATGTCATAAACACCACAAATACAGAAAAAAAAGGAATCTTTGTATTTCGTATACATGTTCGCTTTACATTCCGCTAGTGGTTCTTTTTTCTTTTGTGTTCTTAACCACCTTAATTCTGTCTTGATTCACTTCAGGGCTCGATCGTTGATAGTCGATCGCATTATCAAAATTCTAAATTTTTACAACAGACAAGAACAACAACATCCGATGGTAATATTTAAAGAGAAAAATAGTTTTTGCTTTTATGTACATTCTTTGTTCTTTCTTATGTACAAATACTATGTTAGCCCAAAAATTCTCAGAAGTAACATCACAAAAACAAGTAAAAATACATGAATCTGAAATGTTTCTATTTTCTACTATTCGATTTATTTAGATAACACAAGATGAATACGACGAATTAAGTAGTATCATTGAAAATACGGACGTTCCACTATCGACTATGCAAAGATTAGCTGAAGAAAACCCACTAGCTCCATCTCATTCACAATCATCTCAATCACCAAATCTTGATAGACGAGGTGTAACAAATTTAGTTTCACCGCAAAACTCTCCACTATCTAAATCAAACATGGTTTCGATTCAATCTACTTCTTCTCCTCGGCCTCTTCCGAAATCTTGTATACCATCACCTCGACCGTCTGAAACAAACGAAGTTCTGGTCTATCCATCGTCGATTAGTTTAAAGGTAGCCATGTGAAAACATGCTTAAAAGAAAATCTCTATTTTGTTTTTATTTACTCATACCTTGCAAACATTTTCTCCCCATATTAATTGCAAAGTTTGAAGACATGAAGGTGTAAGAGCAAATGCATATTAACAAGTATCAACAATTATTGTTTTTCACTAAATAAACAAAGTTTAAATAATCTATATTATTTTCAAGGTCTTCGAATAATACATCTTTTCTAAATGATGCTTTGTTTTTTCTTTCTTCCTTCTATAGGGTCTTTTATCATATCAAGATGTGATCGGTGCTATTGAACGTGAATTTCATTTACATGAAGGACAGGAACGTGAAATTATCATGAAGTTATGGCTGAAAGAACAGACAATGATGTCAATTTTACAACGCTATCGACATTTACTACAAGATCTAAATTTAGACGACGAAGATTTTCTTGGTGGCATAAAGGTTGGTGTGATAATAAACAAGAATTTTCCATACGATTTTGTTTTCATGATATATTTATAGAATATACGTGAAATGATTAATTATGCAGATCGCGATGTTCAATATCTTCGAGAACAAGCAATAATGCTTGAAAATCAAAATCATTTTCTTGAAAATGAATTTCATCGACAATTAGATAAAATAGTTGTCGAAAAAAATGAACAAATAAGTCGATTAATTCATATTATTGATCAAACTTGTCCACCACCAATGGAATATACAGATCGCATTAGTGATCTTACGCAATCATCAGGTAATAAACATTAAGAAATTTGACGGAAATGAAAATATTGAGTTCATAGATGAGAATGAATGAATAATACCATTATTTTGACCCATCAAACACTAGTTCTAATAAAAACATGATATTCTAGGAAATCAAGATCTTGTTGCGCAAAAATTCATGCAACAAAATGTTGAATTACAACGTCAATTGGAAACTCTTCGTGCTAAACTTGAATATACATTTGCATTGCTCAATGAAAAATTAGACCAGAATGCGAATCCATCAACATCGGCAATAATTCAAAATGCTATCGAACAAATGCGAAAATCCGATACAAAATTACAAGAACTTGAATTGAAATCTTTATCTCAACAAGAAGAAAATGATCTTCTTAGATATTTAGTAAGATTTTATTTTTCCGTAAACGCATAGAAAGAAAGCAGAGATAAATATTTCGAACCCATGAATTCTAGAGTACTAATACAAATCGAGAAGTAAGTCTAGGTGTAGAAGTCGTATTTATTTTTATTTTTTCAAATGCCAATTGCTCAGCAAAGAACAAAATACGATATAAAAATCGATAGTTCTCTGTTTGAGCAAAATTAGTTAAAAGAATAAAGCACTTTGTTTTTGTTTTTTTTCCTTTCCTTTATGTTTAGATGGAGAGATCTCAATATGCACAAAATGTTGATATAACACAAATGTGTAGCGTTCTTGAGCAACGTTCACTCGAACGTGAAATCACTCGTGTTCATTATGAACTTGATTTAACGGAAAAGAAGCTAGTTGACCTTGAACAAAGAGTAAGAAAATTAGCTTTTCTTCTTCTTAACGTCTTTGTAAACGACGGAATTTTAATTTCTTAGTTTGAAAATTCTGATGAAAGCGTTAAATTTAATATTGAAGCACTTAAATTAAAATGTGATGTCTTACGGCAACATATTGCTACATGTAATCAACGATTAAGCGAAGCTCTGCAACAAACACCAATGGATTATGCAGATGATACTCAAATGCCAAGGTATAAAGGGAACCAAAAAAAAAAGGATTAGAATATTTTTTATTGATTTTTGTTTTAATGTTAGTGATGAACGACAATATCAAGATGCCGATGTAAGACAAAGAAATTAGTTTTAATAGGTTTGTTTTCAAAAAGAACTTCTATTTTGTTAGCAAAATGTTTCGCGACTTGAAAATGAACTCTTAACATTACGTGAACGATACGATGATTTAGCTGAATACTCGAATACACTCAAACACGAATTGGATAATGCAAGAAGACAATTACATGAAGAATATGTTATAACAAAAGATACGGTAAAAAGATAGATGATTGCAAAAAAATGATGCATCAATTTGAAATTGTTTCAATTGAGTTTTCTTTTGCTTTATATTAGTTTATTAGCCAAAAATTTCTTAGATACTGTAACATTCACTAGAGCAGCGGTTCATTTTCAAACTATACACATTGCTCGTTCTAATTTACTCAGTAAGTCGTCTACCTGTTGTTCCTCCGACAGAAATTTCCGCTAGATATCTGTTCGCGCGAAAAGATCCAATGAGGTCCGGACTCTTCATATTACTTCGAATAGAGAGAGCGACGCGAACTGTGTTCATACATTAAACATGAATTTTCTATGTTAAACGAAGAAAACCTTCAAATTCTATTTCAGTATCAGCCAGTTATGGATCTCAATGATTCATCGGCTTTAGAGAATGAACGTCAACGGTCGACTGAACTTGAAAGTGAGCTGATGTCACTTAAACTAAAGTACGAGGACGTCTGCAAGCGTGTTACTGCTGCAACACTTCAACTTGAACGGGTAAAAGTTTTACTGGAGCAAACATTACATCGTTGTGAGCAACTTGAAAAAGAAAAGGTATGTATTTAATTTCTATTTGTCTATATTTGTTTTTCATTCAATGTCTACTTTTGCGAACATATTATTCTATGACTCGACTAGTTCAGCTACGCAAGAAATTGGTATTACTATTAGTTTTACTTTCTTGGATTTTTCCGTATCACTAGAAAATTAGTTTTTCAAATTTATCTTTACTGTTTCTTTTTCTCTCGCACGATTGAACTAGTCCACATTGTATACTGTATATGTATATATATATATATATATTATTCTAGACGCGCTATCCACAATCGAAATCTAGTGTTTATTCTCACCTGTCACAGATCCATCATTATTAATAGACGACCACACGCACATATATATATATATATATCTATTTACGTAATTGTTCACATTATTTACTATCGTTCGCACTCTTATTCATGTATATATACGCATAACTTGTCAAAAAATGAAATGTTCATATTTTTTGTTATTTTTCAAAAGAAAAAGTAGACAAGAATTTTACTTTTATTTTTCTCGAAAAAAGCTTTTAACATATATTCTAATCGTAAGACTAAAAACAAATCATATATATTTTATTTTATTTTTATTTTTATTTGTAAAGAAAAAAGTCACATAAAGCTTCAAACTTTTTTTTTCGAATGCTCACTATTATTATTTATTTTTAATGCACTTTTCCATATACACACTAACGGATTATATTCAGCACGCTTGAATGCAAAATTTTCTTTATATAGATCTATTTTATACATATATTCATTGGAATATTTTCTTGTTTTATTGAATTCATTTGTTTTGTGCTTTTCTTTCTAGTTGGAAATTAATGCACAATCAGAATATCTCTCACAAAATGTTGCGAGTGTGACGGCGAAGTATAAAGATAAAGTGAATACAATTAAATCACGTCTGTAAGTATAATTTTTTCTATTAAAATTTAAGTCAATCAAGATATTTTTAAAAGATGAAAATTATTCATAATATTGATCAGAAAATTTCAAGACTCATCTCATAATTCTATTTGAGCAATAGAACTGATAAGTATGAACTCCAACGCTTATCATGTGTATTTAATCGATTTATTCAACCAACAGACTAATAGAATCATCCGTTTTCATTCAAGTTTTTATTAAATCTCGTTCAATGATCGATAGTTTTTTTCTTGAGTATAAAAGAAGATTAGACACAATTGTCTTTAAATTGAGTTAAGAATAGATTATGAAACCAAAAGAAAATTTGAAATCTCCGTTTAGAGAACAAACTGATCGTGATCGACGTGAAGCTCACATTCGTACTGAACAATTACAAAATGAAATTGAGCGACTTAAAAATGAACTAACACATAAAAAAGAAGTGATTTATGAAAAGGATAAACTTATTCAAGATGCACAATATAAAAGTCGAGAAATACTTCTTGAACGACAAACAGTTGAAGATCGAATATCAAATGAATACAAACGATTACATGAACTTGTTGATAAGTATGTGTCGTCAAAAACGTACTTTCTCAACGGATAATCCTTTTTTTCTTCTTCGTTTAGAAATCGCTTTCTCGAAGATGAATTAGAACGTTTGCGACGTAGTCAGATACATGAAAACATTACTGTTCGACGGTAAAACTGAAAATCTTCATAGGATCAATTTTAATCCAAAGTATTCTGTTGTTTTTCTCTTAGAACCGATGTTATCAATCTTGATGCTGGTACATCTGATTCATCCAATCGCCTGGAAGAATTACGAACACGAGTATAAAATTTTGTTCTTAATCATGAATTCGTTCTTTTTTTTCTTCTTTGATTAGATCAATGATTTTGAAAGACGATTTGCAGCTGAAAAAGCTTGCAAAGAATCGTTACAAGTTCAAATTAAAATACTCGAAGAAGAAAATACTGATCTTCGAGATATAATGAACCAAATGCGAAAGAGATCACAAGATGATCGACGGTAATTCTAATAAAACAAACGAGATGTGAAAGCTCTCCTAATCAACCGGAAATCCGGTGAAAATTTAAGCCACTAAAACGAATCTATTGCGGTCACTTTTATCAATTTTCATAGTATGGTGAACCTAAAAAACAGGAATGTAAATTATTTTTTCTATCCACCAGCTTTCTCGTTGCACAATGAGATCATCGGGTCACGCTAAAAGAATTCATTATGATCGCAAAAAGTCTAATACAAAGTCTTAAAGTACTTTTAACTGACTGTCAGAAGCTCGCATTCGCTGCGAATTTCTACGAAAAATGAAAAAGGCTTTGTTGTAATAAATCTTTAAAATCAAGTCAAATAGAAGAATTTCAATATTATATTTTCTTCACAAATAGGATATTTAGAATATTCTGAATACTTCAGCTGAAAAGCAGAAAACGCTTTTTCGTAATGTAATCTTTCAGATATGTCTAAGGCGGATGAATCTGTTTTTAAGAGCCATGGGAACTCAATAATATTTGCACTACTTTGAATAAATGTATTTTTCAAAAATCATTTTAGAACTGATCGTGATCGAAATGATGAAATTCAGCAATTGATTGCTCGTGCGGAATCGAACGCTCGTCAATATATGTCAAATTTTAATATATCAACAACATCGCCAACATCGACTTTAGTGAGGATAATTCCAGTGTCCTCACCAACAAAATTCTCATGATAAATTAGGTCAATTTCTCGTTTACGCATTGTTGTGCAATTTTTATTAAAGACGATATCAAAGAGTTTAAATTTCTCGACAATATGAAAGACACTTTCTTGTGCGCTATTGTCGTACTTCCTTGAAACTCTTTCCTTCTTTCGTTTTTCGTTTTTCGTTTTCTCTCTTCTCAATGCTCAAACTATTTGAATTTTTCTCTTTCGCGATGTTTGTGAAAAAACCTTCGATGCATTTTTATTTGTTATTATCTATTTATATAATTAGACTAGACATTAAACGACTGTGATATGGAAAAGCTTTTAATAGATCTGCATTGATATTGATTCACCAAGGATCATATCAAAGCCAAACAAATTCAATATGACAAATGTTTCTTCTAGGGAATACGTGATCGAATGTAAAGAGCATATGTTTCTTTTTCCCGATATCATCACACATGGGAAATGACAGATCGATCAAGCACGTAAAAAGAACTAGAGAATTTTCTTTGTAGATAAATCGTATTGTCATAGTGTAAACATGTCAACATTCTAGACATATCATTTTCTCTGACTACATGATTTCGAGTGTATACCCATAAATCATTACATCGAATCTATTGCTCTATGTTAATATATATATATATATATATGAGATCAAATGATGTTTATCAAGAAAGAAAAAAAAAAGTTCAATAGCGGTCACTTATTAATATTTCATAAAAGAAACATAAAACTCTATTTGATATTTAATGTATTCCAAAAAAAAAACAATTCATCAAGCAATATTCGCTGATATATTATTTTAACGGGCAATTTGAATTTTAAACAAAAAAATTCCTCAATTAAACACTAAATATGTTTAAATAATTCTATCAGTTGCAAATATAAAATTACCCATTACCATTAGCGCATAGTTTAGGCTTTTTTTCTTCGACTTACTTTGAAAACAAACGCAAATAATAACGGTAAGTTATATCATATCAATAGAAGGATTTCAATTGTATAGTTTATGATTTAATCGTCGTCTATTTTTTTATGCATTATATACGAACAAAAAAAAAATCCTTTTTAATCCATCGGAAAAAAACAGAAGAAAAGCGAATACAGCTTCTATGCATATACGCGTATAAATATATATATGAACATATACATATATATATATATATATCAACTAATCCTGTAAAGCCGAACAAAAAATGGCAACCATCAAGAATACAAAGTATGTGACTACTTTAGAGAAGTTGTTAGAAACAAAGACAAGAAGAACGAATATCGAAGTTAATTAAAGGAATGACAATATTAGTGAATTTTATATGTTAAACAATGCAGTTGATCTTTCTCTTCTTGTTTTTCTGAAAAAAAACGAGAAAGAAACGCACTGATTGAACCGGACTTAGATCATATTTGTTTTAAATTATAGTCTAACGAGAAAGAAAGGAAGAAAATGAACCATCACGAGACACAAAAAAAAACTGACGGGATGACAAACGACGAAGAGCTTAAGAGAAAAGAGCCGTACAAATAGTGTGAGTATTTGAATACGCCATAGCGCAATGATGAGGAGAAAAAGCAAGAAATGACAAGCATGTATATACTCAACACACATCTGACAGCAAGAAAGAAGCAGAAAAATGGTAAAGATGGCACGCACAATATGATGATCATAATGTGAACAATAATAACAACAACATCAAAAAGAAAAACCACACACGACTGCAATGTAATAATTGGTATTCCATCATTTATAGAAAAAGAAAGAAGAAGAAGAAAAAAAACTAGAAACCGAGATCTCCTTCAATAGCATTGACATCGAGATCAATAGCTGCTGGATATTTGCTAGAATTTATCCTACTACTTCGTGTAGACACTCCACTGTTATTTATCCCTAATGAAGAACATGTTTGAGTATATTCAGATAGGTTTTGTTGATTATTTGCTTCACCAGATCCAGCACTAAAACCCGAATCATACGACATATTTGACTCTTCAAAGTGAAGTACATGACCGGGAGGAACATCCGTGAAGTCGACCGGAGAATGAGCTGGAGAATCATAATCGCATCCGCTATCTTCATCGTCGCCTCCAATACAGTCTTGATCGGCACGTCTTGTCATCTATAGAAAAGAAGAAGAAGAAAAAAATGAACGGAAATAAAAGCAGAGTGCAACAGACAATCAGAGATGCCTCAATTTAGTCAGTAGTCCGATTCCATCAGTCAAATCGATTCTATACTAAATTTGACTGAGCGTACAAATTATTAGTTCTCAGGTCAAACAGTGCGCTGATGGGCTTATATATACATATATAGAATTTTAATTAAGTAAATAAAAAAAAGAAAAAGAAAGAAACCTAACACTTCAGACTTGTTCAACCAATCAGTCAAATATTAAAAATCATAGTCGATTTTTTCTTATTTGTTAAAAGAAGAAAAAAAAACAGGGAGAACGAGAAGTGAACAGGTGCGCTTGTCAATCTCATTTCGTATGCTGCTCAACAGAGCGCACATACAAGCATACAACTCAATTTATTTCTATGCTTTTGCCTTTTTTATTGTATTCGCTTAGGGAGAGCAGAGAACGACGATGAAGAAAGAAAAGGGACGACAAATCAATCGATCGAACAATTTTTTATTTCTTGATGGTCATTTCTCTTAACTTATTATGACAGTTACTCTTCAAGCATACCTTCTTTGGTGAATTGCCATCAAAGCTGTATGTCGATTGAGTCTAAAAAAAAAAAAGAATGAGACAAGAGAAATAACAAAATATGACAAATGATTCGAATCCGTTGCATATCTCAAGACATGAAATGTCAGTATATCCATGATGCAATTGATCATTATTCTTATTCGAATCAAATAAATGAGAATAAAACGAAGAACGAACGACTAATGTGCTCGACTAGCACTTTTGAAAACAGCTGTCAAAATTCTTTCTCATATAGAACAAAAAAAGCCAAATAAATAAAACGATCTGTGTTATTATTGACAAAAGGACTGATGATGGACGCATACATATATAGAAAGAAATGAGCCTAGTTCACATTAACACTTGAAAGAAAAGCGATAACAAATAATAATATGTGATTTAATGAGTAAAATCAATCAGATATTTGGTTGAAGAAGCAAAAGAAGAAAATAAATTACCTGTTTCATTTTGAGTAAATCTAAGTAAGGCCTATGATCGTCTTCGCTTGCTTTACGTTTACGAGTTGTACTCGAACGTGTTGATTGTTGAGAATTTATTGAGATTTTGTTATTATTATTATTATTGTTATTATTACTATTACTAGTTTTGCTTGATTCATCACATACAAATGAATCAATTTTAACACCGGCCGATGCCGCAGCAGCACGAGTTAATGGCGGCACCGGTTTATGCTGTGGTGTGTCTAATGAAAGCTTTTCTGTAAACGATGGTATAACTTCAATTTGATTGTTCGAATTGCTCGTTTTCAATTTCGTACGTGACCGTAGATTATACGGAGTTTGTGATGAGTCTGATGACGGTGGACGCACAGCAACCGGTTTAATAACTTGAACATTTGTGGAAGTTAAATTATCTTTATTTGTATTAGACGTTGTACGTGTCGTTTGACGACGAGGTGATGGAGTTTTTTTCATGAATTCATTTAATGTTGTGCTTGAACTTCGTGTTGTTGGATGATGTATATGCATCTGAAAAAACAAAACAAAGAAAAAGTTTCTTTTCTTTATTACTTTTTTTTAAGACAAAAACATTTCTGTAGGAAATAATTGTGTTGTTACTTCTGTTGTAGTTGAGGAGGAGTGAATGGCAATAGTGGTAGACACACACACACACACACACACACACACACACACACATAGAGAAAGAGAGAGAGAGAGAAAAGAAATAGGAGAAGAAAGAGAGAACGAGAGAAAAAAAGATGCTGCAGATTTTTCTATGTGCGCATGCTGACGTTCTGTATGTATGCCGTCATTGCACTGACCCGATATCAATTTCACAGAAGAGCGTGAACATATACACGCACACACGCAAGGAAAAGAGAAAACGAGAGAATCTCTTTCTCCTTTCTTTCTATTTTTTTGTCGTATTTGTATGATAATTTTTTACATATGCAGGTGAAGCACATCATCATTCGAAGCTTTTGATATATACATGGAGAAAGATGTGACTAATCCTCTTTGTAAAAGATATTTAACTAATAGAAAGAAAGAACAAGAGAGAGAGAGAATTCTCAATCAGATTCGAATGTCATGGTCATTATTAAAGAAAAAAATAAAAAATCTTCTTCTACTTCCCTAAAGCTATATAGGATGTGCGTCGTTTCCTCTCATTCTTTTTTTTTTGTTAGAGAAAGAGAAAGATGATCGTTTCCGGCCAGATGGTAATGGATAAATGAATTGACTGATGAGAAACATGAACACATTAAAGTGAAAAGAAAATAAAAAATGATCAATTGACAAACAGACATGTTCAATCCACTGATTGTTATTTTCATCATTCGTATTTTTTTTTAACACCCACTCGTTAGTTGATATTTTCCCCTATTTTTCTTCCCTAGCTTTCAAGTATATCACTTTTGACTTGTATCTAGTAAACTTACACAAATATAATAAATTATCGATTTTCGAAATGTCGTCGTTTTTGCCCCTTCTGTCTCACGTGCATATACATATATATATATATATATATATATGCACATTCTAGCTGCCCACCACCCTCTTCTTTTTTTTCTTCGTCGATAACTGTTACTTGCATGTTCTAATCAATTTGTCAAACAGTGCAAATGCCGATAGTCTCGTTTTCAGGATAACACACGCAAATATCTACCTTGCTGTTGATGTTGTTTTTCATGTGCGTATGTAATTTAAGTATTTTCAATGACTCCTGTTATTTATTGATAATGATTGTAAAATGATCGTCATCAGTCTTGCTCAATATACATATTGACGATGATCAAGGACATAGATACCGTGTAATCAGCATAATCAAGAATCATTTTTTCATGTATAAACGAGTCCGTTTTTGGCTTTGCTTTTTTTTCACGAATGGAGATGTCGGCAACATTATTACTTTTATTGACAAAACAACTGATACACCATTCATAAAGTAATGCTACTTCTATCAAGAGGAAAAATATAACGGATAAGAATGAGAAGAAAGCAACCTGGTGCTTGCCAACTTGCTTTGTCCCCATTTTTATTGTATAATTAATGACTTTGACTAGATCAATGTGGTATGAGTGATTGATATTCACATTTGTAATAGAATAATAACTAACCTTCGGTTATTATAGGCTGATTGTTTGTTATTATTGATCTTCGTAGATTCATTTATTTTATTGAGAAGCAAAAAAACTAAGGAAAGGGACCGTATCAAAGAGAGATCGTTGTCATTTGCGTTTATTTTTTGTTCGAGGGTAGTGCGTAGTAGATGGATGAAAAATAAGAAGCAACTGAAGACGACAACGAAAAACGACGATGTTACTTGTGTGCATGCGAGCACAAACAGAACAGCTGAGCGGTGTGGCGGTTTGAGCAAGAGGAAAGCAAAAGAAAAAGTGCAGATCGATAAAGAAAAGAAAAAGAAAATGATGTTTCGTTCGCTATGCAATAAATAGATCTCGGTTTTTTTCTTCTTTGTTTCTGCGCTTTTTTTAAACATCGAAAGAAGACTATGAATAGCCACAAGAATATTATTTGTCAAACTAAATATATAAACAAACTCGTCATATTTTGCGTAGATTTTTATTCGAATGTAATATTGCGACGGATTAACTTTGACTTAGAATAAGACTTCATTAACACAAATCTCATCTAGACTTATTCAAATTAAAATCTAATTCAGTCAATAAAGCAAAAATCTCTCAAGAAGAATAATATCGAAGAACGTCGATTGAAATTTTTCTGTTTATAAGTTTCCGAAAATGACAACTAGTAGAGAGAGATAATTGGCTTTGATTCAATAGACATTTTCTATGTGTTCTACTTTGCATTTCAGTACATGGTTATTATGAGGTGCTCACACATATACACTTGAATACCTACCTGGGGGGTCTGTTAAAGTAGACTATTATTTATATATATATATATATATATATTTCGCTATTGTTCATTCATCTCATCTCTGCGTGTTCATATTCTTTCTCATTAAACCTGCACGACAACACATTCCAAAATAAAAGAAAAGGATATTGAATCTGTCTCCCTTGTCATCACACACACACACACACACACACACTACATACACTGTAATCGAAATGCAATCGGGCATTCATTTATTCACTTATTTTTTTTCTGTGCTGTTTACAATAGAATAAATATAAAGCAAAAAAGAAAAATACAAACAAAATCTAGTAAGAAAAAGAAGAAAAACAGCCAAACACTTTCAATGTCATCGTTTAGCAAGAGCACCATATACTGGCTTATTATCGTGTTAGATTTATCAGTAAAAGATTTGCGTTACTGCTGTGAACTATCACTTTTTACCAGACAGAAAATATAAGAAATAACATGCAGCACATACACATATCGAGAACCTAATTGATGGAACATAGCATGACAGATAAGCACTAATAGCAATAGTAACTCTATACGGTACAAAACGATTAGAACAATGACTAGAGAGAACAAGAAGAAGAAGAGAAAAAAAAGAAATCTCTCAACGAAATATCATCGGCCACTCTGTCACAGAAATATGTGTTCTGATATTTCCATCAAAAAGAAGATCAATCCAGTCAGAAAACGATAATGAGCCAGTTGTTGATGTTGTCGAATCAGTTGATGACGTGGACGATGAACGATAATTATGATTATCCATTCCAATGAAAGCACCTGTTTCATCCGATAGCTCATCATGACCATTTTTATTTAATATCGGTCCATACGGTACAAAAAATTTTCGTCGTATATACAAAGCAAGTACAGTTGATGTAATAAATTGACCTAACTGATGATTTTGATCATCTTCTATATTTGCTTTAAGTTCATTAAGCCATCGTGGTGAATAATTATGATAAAGAACAGCAAAGTTCATGCGAGAACTAAAGCAAAAATACATAATAGGAGCATTCTCTAAATTAACAAAAAGGTATTCGTTGACATAGATAGATACAAAACAAAGAACTAGCTATGCTTTTTCAATCATGTTTTACGTGGGTGATTCTATTTCAAGATTTTCTTTAATGGAAATGAGAAAAGAATATTACACCTGGATGTTATCAGGATTACTTGGTTGTATAAATTATTAAAATATTTTCTCGGATCATGTTATTTCGGTAACTTTGTTTTTTAAGATTAGAAACAAAAAAAAAATGAGGAATAAGAATAAGAAGACTTTTTCCATAGACTAATCATTTGAGTGAGTATATGTGACATCATTATTTATAGAATATGAAAGAAAATTGACATGTTCAGGGGACCGAAGTGAAAGAGATAAAAGATTTAGCAGTCATTTTTTTTTCATACCAGAATTAATTAGAAAATTTAAGTTTTATGAATGACCGAGTCTATTTTTCTTTTTCCGACGTGTAATTGCTCAGTTGAAAATTTTCGAATCAGTTTTATTCAAAAACTCTAATTAATTCGTTTTCAGGCAGTTAATAAACATACTCGCTAATTAATCTAATTTGCCTATGAAAATATTCCACGCATGAATCGTTGGGTGTTTCAGCAATAAGAAGTATTATGATTGCATTTGATGCATTTGGATCGGTATAAATTTGAAGAAATGATTCATCGAATTCGTTTAATTTAGTTGCTTTTGTGGATTCTCGACTAGAAATAAAATTCATTAGCTTTATTTCATTTGTGTAGAAAACTTACTAAATTTCACTCGGTCTTCTATTCATTGTTGTTGTTGCTGCTGCTGAAGATGAAAAATATGATCTTCTCGGTTGTTTTAGATCATTTTGTACATTACTACTCGAATTTGTTTTTGCATAGAAGAAATAAATAAGTATCGAAAGAAAAAATAACAGGAATTGATATGTAAAAACATAGACTGATCTATAAACAATAATCTTATAGTTTGTTAAAATCATAATTAAATAACTTACAGAGATCGAACAATTGAATTTCTTTCAAACCAATAATTCCATTTATCTTGAATTAGATTAGTAATTATTATGAGAACATTCTTACAAATGAAAGAAAATTACATATTAACATTACATAAAATGAAAAGCTTTCGTTTGATTTCTTACTTCATTTCTGTCGTCAAAATCAAAGATGGTTGGTAATGTAAATTTTTTAATATTCTGCCAACGAATAGTTAAATATAATTTCAAATTAGCTTCAATATCAGCTGCCATATTGAAATTATTACGTTTGAATTCATTTAAAGATTTGCCATCAAATTCAATTTCGGTATTAACTAATTCAACAGTGTCGTCGAACCATCGACGAATGACAACGATCTTTTAATCGAACATAAAAATAGATTGTTTTTATTTTAATTCAATAATGGACTTACAAGTAGTCTTTTATCATTTGGAGGATAAATCGGAGAGAAAATTTTACTAAAACTAATTTGTTGTGTTGCAGAAGAATCAAGATAGGCCATACGTAGTCCATGTTGTTCAAATAATTGTTTAGCAAGATATACAAATGATGATCGATATTGTTCGAAAAGATTTGGATCGCCAATGATTAAAAAGCAAGGCCTAGAAAGAAACGTAATTGTTGAGTGCAGAAATTGAGAGACTCAATGAGTGTTGAGAAAAAACAGCAACAGCAAATACTTGAGAAAGAAAATACGATTAGTTTATCATAAGAATCTGAGAGTATTAGACGTCTACACGTATTCGTATATATCTTAATAATAAATGTACTTCAAGACAATAGATCTCTTCAAATTCAGTTATAATTAGATATGTGAAGAAGAAGCTTTTGCTATATCTCGGATGTGTAAATGACTCATAATTCGAGGTGTGTATTTTTCTTGGCTTCTTTTTATTTATTTTTTCACTCCGAGTACCCTTATGAACGCCTTTCTTGTTTTTAATGCAACTTTTTCCTGTAAAAGCTACCAATAATTATCAGAATAATATTTTTTCAAACAAAATAAAATGTCTAACTTACTTTGCCGAATTTGTTTGACACACTAAATTGAATACATTTGAGCTTGTAATTGTCGGTAGATGTAAAAGTTGATTTGATTCGAATAATTTTTGAACGTTCTCAAAAGTTAAATCATTCTTCAGAAGACACAAAAAAGGATTTAGATCAACATATTCATTTTATTTCAATAACTTACATCTCTAATAACTGCTATTGGATTTTTATCTTCTTTAAAGAATAAAACTGTATCGGACAAAGTAGATATTGGCTTAAGAAAAGATGGCAATTGACTAGTCATCATCACAGCTATTCAAAGAAAATATAAATAAAACTGTAATTTCTATGATTTTTACTTACATGAATTTAATAAAGCACATTGTATTCGTGTTAACTGTTGTAAACAAGGTATCACAAATTTTAGCGTGGGTGCTTTTTGTTTAGTGATTAGAATTGCATAAACACGATTTGTTTTATTATATGATGATATTAACGAGAGTATATCATCTGGAGTTTGTAACTGAAAAAAAGAAAAATATTTAAATACTAAAACTCTACCTATGTATTCTCTTACTATTTTGATAAATCGTTTGATTGGTATTGATTTTCGTACGAATTCTTTTACATTTGATTCTGTATATTCAGTTATTTTTCCATGATCATTAAAATGATAAACACGACGTTGACTAATAACACACAATGACGGAGCGCTTGATATGCCTAATTCATTACTTAAACGTTGATCATGAGCATTGAATTCTGCAGTACCAATACCAACATCATTAAATTGTTTTTCCAACGCACGAAATATTCCTAATGGTTGACGACACGTAGAACAAAAATTTGTACTACCGAAAAGCACATACGGTTTTTTATCACTATTTGGTAAAATATTACTCAGAAATTCACTAGAAATAAACAACTCTGTGTGTGATGAAAATTAAAACTAGAAGATTTACCGAGTATGAATGAATTTTTTTGCACCAGTTGGTGATTCATGAAAAAAATTAAAATCACCACTAAAATGTGCTCGAAATATATCATACGGATCACGAAAATGATTCGTATTAAAACCACGATGATTATCTTGTGATGTCGTGCCATACTCATCATAATTTTGTCGTTTTGTCGAATCCGATAGAATCTGAAAGAAAGGTAGCTTTTATTTTGTTTTGTTTTTGTTGAGATTTTACTTCATAAGCTGCATTGATTTTTGTAAATTGTTCGTGTGCATTCGGTTCAGAATTTTTGTCGGGATGCCAATGTTTTGCTAGTTTTTTATACGCTTGTCGAATGTCTTTATCTGATGCTGTGCGTGATAAACCAAGAACTTCGTATGGATTAAAATCATTGGTTTTAGCTGATAAATCGGATAGACAAAGTACAATATAAACGAAAATTAATTGTACGAAATGCATGAAAAGTTTCACGAAAGAAATTGCCTATCTAGAATAAATAAAAATATTAATATCTTGGCCAACTGGTAAGTTATTTCTCTCACATATTTTCCATAGTAGATAATATCTATGATTAATAGGTTTTACTGAGACATATCGTTAATATCTATCTTCAAAAAGCTTTTATCACTATGTATTTTATTTGTACTTGATAATAAAAAATACTATTCTGAATAGATTTACTGCATCTATTGTGAAGATCATGAAAACATATTTGTTCACTTCATGCATTGGGTGTATATAACAATGTTACATTTATATTAAAAAAAGAAGAAGCAAGTAAAATAGGGAAAAATATAGCTTCGATATAAACAAACAGATTAGAAAACATAAACCCAATTGTATAATTACAGTGCTGAAAGACCGGAAAATTGACGTAATTTTTCCATGACAATAAATATGACAACTGTTTGTGGCCCTAAGAATAAACAAAAATAGATTTCTTTCTTTCAGTATCAAATAAAACGAAGTTTCCTTGTTTTTTTTTAATTAATCATACTCTAGAAGCAACATATTCGAATAGTGTGACGCATTGTAATCTTTAAAGATCATATAGCTCGTAATTGTTTTGTACGCGTGACCTTGTTGTTAATGACTTTTGTTTTTCTGTTTATTATCGGTGTCTATGAAAATAGGTCGATGCATTTATACTAATACAAAACAATCTTTTAAAAAAATAACGCATTAACATAGATAAATATACGATTATCAGTCAATGCAAAGTCACACAAGAAAAAATAACTAGCCATTTGACTTTACATTATATCTATAAGTTCGTTCGTATTCTTATACTAAATGTCATCGATAACTCAATATAAGGTGAATAAAATCGATTGTATGGTTTATAGTTTATTTACTCGTTTTTTATGACTTACCAAGTCTTACATATGCAGCTGACCAACCACGTAACAATCCTCGGAAACCTTCCTTATGAACAATTTTATTTGTAAGTTCACTAAAACCATATTTACCAGCTGCATACATATTGGTTTTAATCGTGTCTAGGGGAGCTGTCACTGTTGTAGTCACAAGTCTATCGTTTAATTATTAAAAACAGAAAACAACTGAGTTATTAATTAGAAGAAACAAAATACTGCTCACCCAGTTATCAATGAAGCACCTAAATGTAATTTTACACCTTCACTCCAACCTGTTAGTTCTATCCAAAATCGTTTAGCATGATCATAAGTGACACATTGTGTTGCTGTTAAAACGGCTGTAATAAATAAATAGAAATATATAGCATGCAGAATAAACAAGAATATTTATTGTACCTGTTCGAAAAGCTGCCGGTACGGTACCAACCCATAAACCTTTAACTCCATAGTGTTGAATAACATCTTTAATTACATGAGCGGATGATTTATATATTGTATTTTTTGTTTGTAATTTAGTTTTGCATAAATCCATCGGATTCGATGTAATAGCAGCCATGGAGCCTGATAAACAGCCCGCTGTAATATTTCGAGCAAAAACTATCGATGATTTGTTATCATCGCTGACTAGACGTTTAAGCATATTTTTTATCGGTCCATAAGCTCCTAGGCGTACACCACCATAGAATAGTCCACGAAGAATTGCTGGTGTAAAACCGGAATAAAATGCACGAATACCTTCTTTTTGATAAACGTTTTTTGTTGTTTCTATTAGACCGGCTTTAATACTTGATTGAGATGTTGTCATTGCGGCATTAGCTAATTGAAGACGCACTTTCAGTACATCGACTAAAGAATTAAAATAATAAAATATTGAGACATTTTTCGATTAAAATAATTGTACTTGGTAGTGTTATAAGATTTGCTATAGATACACTTAAACCACTTGTAATCAGCTAAAATATTTATTTTCATGGTACAAATAGACGATAAAAAGAATTATTTTACTTCTGTAATTATTGGATGGTCACTACTTGATGATTTTACATGTTTGAATAATTCTGTTGTGGATGAATATTTACGACTGTTATTTTCGCTGCTGAGTGATTCAACAGGAAGAACTTCAATCGTAGGCATTCAAACTATAACGATGATAGACTGGTCGATATTAAATTTTATATGTTTGGACTATGAAAATAAACTATCGTTTATCTTCTACTCTATTTCTATACTGGAATATATTTCATATTTTCTACATCATAATAAAATAAAATTCATGTCTAGTGTCAAATTTCTACCCGTGTTTACGCATATTGGTTAAGTGAAAAGATGAATGTCAAAATGACCTTCTAGATGGCATTAAGATTCGTTCTAAGATCTAACGAAACAAAGTTCGATACAATAGATAAAATCATAGAAATCAGCTTTTCTCTGTACATTTTTACTAAATATCTATCATATATTTCCGATTTTTATCTATAGAACAAACAATTATTGTCCAATTGCTTACTAACCTAACACCATCTATATAGATGGCGCTAAAAATTGCAATAAAAGCACACAAGATCTTGTCACTAGTCGACGATCTTGGCTTCGATCTGTTCAGGTTCTTGTTGTTCTTGCTTGCCAGACAAGATTATTTTCCTTCTTAAAAATCAGGCAAGAATCATTTCTTGAGATAGCAGCAAGAGTTTTACCAGATTTTCAAGAACACAACACTAGTCGACGATCTTGACTTCGATCTGTCCAGATTCTTGTTTTTCTTGAACATCGGATAAGATTCTTGTTTCTTGTCATTTTGCCAAGACTCTTGCTTTCTTAAAATTCTCGCGATTTTGACAAAATCCTTGCAATACAAATGAATTTCATTTAGGAATCCATACGGATGCCTCCTTTCGGTTCTATTTGATTTTAATTTCGAATTAAAAAAGTACAAAAAATTACATTATATGTGCAAGGAAATATACAATAAGTTCATATCACGCACAAAAAAATGGAGAAAAATAAAAAAAATAAACGAAAAACAATTGAACAAAACAATCTATTCAAAAAATACATCTGTAATAGTTCGTCAGTGCCATCTAGAAAAAAAGATATAATGTTCAAACTTCTGTATACTTATAAGTATATATACAGAAAACATCACGTGATATTTTTCTGTAAGATAGGATAAGAATCATTGAAAGGAAAAGAAACAAGATTCTTGTCTGAATTTCAAAAGATCTTGCCATTCTTGTCTGATTCTTATTTATCTGAGCAATCAGACAAGATTATGCTTTTCTTGAAAAACAGGCAAGAATCTTGCCTGAATATTATGATTGCGAATAATCTTAGCTGATATTCAAGAAAAACAAGAATCTGGCCAGATCGAAGTCAAGATCGTCGCCTAGTGTTACGACTATCATGAGAATACGAAGCCCCATGTCGAACAATCCGGGACGGGTTTTAGTGAACTTCTCTAACCTCTCTCCAGTCATATCCGACCGGAAATAAGGTGGAAATTCTAGGAAAAAATTCGGCCAATTCCGTTTGTGATCCCGATAGTGAGCCAAGGAAGGAAAAAATCATAAATGAGTCGCTTTCCAACGGATTTTTTCTGTCACATCTTCAGGCGGGTTCCTATCGATATTTCCAAGCTGCTTCCCATCCATTCCTCAGCTCGAGAGCAGTTGGTCGTTCCGGTGGCCGTATCCAGTTCGGTTCCCAACACATATGTTAACGCCTTATCCGAGTCATACAGTACGAAAAATACGTATCTAACCGACTTCGGCCTGTCGACGAAGCCCAGATTGAAAAGTCAAGGCGAACAAATGTGGTTTCGAGACCAATCCCCAGGTCGCGGTGGTACGACGGGAAGTCGCTGGAAGATGGAAGCAGTATTGCTGCCAGAAATTTTTGGATCTTTTTCAGTACTTTTTGGCAGGAACCGATAGTAAATCATTGGGAAAATTCTGAAAATTTTCCAGACGCAATATTGCTTCCAAGTTTCAGCAACTTTCCGTGCTTTCTTGTGGGATACAGTGATTTTCCCGACCGGTTCCTCCAGTATCTGGTGGCCGGAACGATCGACCTGTGTCAGTCCTATTGTACAATAATAGTCATTTAGAATTTCTTTTTTCTATCACTCTTCTGTCTAAAAACGAATCCTCACTGTGCCGATATTGATGGCACGCTTCGATGATTCTCATTCCTTCTCTTTCTGTTCTCTTTGCATTGCTATAATATATCTCTCTCCCATATATATTTGCCTATAGTGGCGCTAAGCTACTCCACCTCTATCCAGTTTGTCTTAACATATCAACCCAAGCAGGGTCCCACATTTATTGTTACATCCACTCCCACATGCAGCATGCTAAGCTACTCAAAACCTAGTATCAATTATAACATAAAAATCAGATAAGCATTATTTTTATTAACTTAAACATCTGTCAGATAAAGCTGGACATTATATTCCGAGAAATGCAACCACGACTGCATCAGTGCTGATTCAGTGAATCCGGTTCTATTTGTTTACAATTTTATGGGGGGCTGTGATCGCGATGCTTGCTATGTGAAGTAATGTTTTCTTCGGTTGCATTCTCATTAGATGAGTTTTCAAATGCTATCAGAGGTGGCTGAATATATCGTAAATCGACCTGTCCAAACGTGATGGAATCACGTTTTTTCATTTTGTATTATGAATATCTCAATTTAATGGAACTGCGTGAAGCTGAAATTTTCAGAATATATTCAAGTTTCATAGAATTCGAAACTTCCGTGAGATTTGTATGATTAAAATATAGGTCCGTTACGGGATCACCAAAAATAGTCTTCCAGATTGAGTTCCATGTGAAGAACTCGACAATTTACCGCAACTAAAACTGCGAAGAAAAAACTTTCAATGGGAAAGTTATAGTGAATATGACATTCTATCTGTAGAAAAAAAGAAAATTTAAAAGAAATAAAAGTATACCTTTGAATAGTAGAAAAAGTTTCTTAACGGAATCACTTTTTAAAAATGTTCATATTTTTTTAGTGTCTACTTCTTAAGAAATTTATCTATAATTCACGAAAATGGACACATTTGTATTACTAATAGAGATGAACAAAATGAATGCCGATTTTGGCCATCGGGACTGGAACTGGGGCCGGGATCAAAAACATTAACTGTACCGAAGTCTAAACCTCAAAACCTTAACTATACCGTATCGAGAACCAGATCAAAGCAAAAGTTTCCCGCTTAAAGTAAGAAAGTGAGACTTTCGGACTCCAGAGTACAGGTCAAGCAGGAGAAGAATCAAGTAAAGTAAACCTAAGTTACAGTTGTAGTAAAGAAATAAAAAGTATGAGTATTGAAGAAACATTAAAAATGTGAGAAAACAATGTTGCAACATGTTTCTATGTTTCTTTAAATAGGCACAGGCTCTAGATTAGTTAGAATCACATGACCAGAATAAAAAATGAAACTTCAACCGGACAGAAACCAGAACCATAATAAGTGTGCCTGGACTTTGGTCGCTATTGGGATCAAAAATAATGTTGCTGCGTGTACCTCTAATTACTCGTTGAAAAAGTGATCAAAAAAAGTCATTTTACATATTGTTCATTCTGATAAGGTAAAAATTCGATTTCACAAATATGAGGTGCATATCAAATATCACTCCTAAAATAGTATCTTCAAATACAGCAATAAAAATAACTTGAAAACCGTCAGAAATTAGTTTTGAAATAAAGCAGTGAAGCTATAAAATGGTTGATTATCATGTACCACAAATCGGCATCCCCAGATTTCATCCCTAAATCATATCCATATTTGTGGATAATAAAAAGAATATTATCCCTACCTACCGGTGACAAAATAGGGATTTTGATTTATGAATTTTTCAATTTAGGGGTTGTTTTTGAAAATAAAATATGCCATTTACATCATGATTTAAGACCATATTCAGCCGTGCTGAAAATTTTTCTGCCATCAAAGTCAAGTCATGCCACGAAAACCACAGTACCAGAAAACACATTCTGGCGACTAGATAGACAAATATCAAATAGAGAGATACCAATAGAGCGATAAGATTGAGTCCCTTTTTAGGATTCTGATGACCAGAATGTGTGTGCTGGTAGTGCTATTTTCGTGGCACCACCCCTGGTTTCGATGGCAAAAACAAATTCAGCAAGGTAGAACATGATGTTCAATCATGATGGTAACAATATACTATCTTACATTTTAAAAAAATCCCCAAATTGAAAAATCCCTATTTGGTCACCATTAGAGATAATATTCATTTTATTCTCTACCAATAGGAATATGATTTAGGGATGAAATCTGGGGATGACGACTTGTGGTAAATGATAGACATTCCTGTAGGTGTGTGGTTGGTGAAAATATGAAGTTAGAGTATTTTTACAAAGCATTGTTGAATCCAATGACAAACATTTATACTATCGGAGAGTATCAATAGAGTTATAATGAATTCGAAATAAACGTTGTTTTCGACTATCACAAGTTAATGTCTATACAGAAACTAATAACAATAACAGACAGAGTATTAACGAGTGAGATAAATCGTCACGTCGAAGAAAAGTATTATTAATACATACTAATTAATTACTGCAGTCTCTCAAATCTAAAAATTTCATTCTTGAGAATATCCTTGTAAGCAAATAAATGAACGAAAGAAGAAGAATTCCAACAACGCCATTTCTTGTATTATTATTCTTTTTAATTTTTGTTTCTTTCTCGCATTGTTTATTTTTCGTTCTGGTGAGAAAAAGATCTGTTATTTTTGCTTATGAAAATGAATTAATTCTTCAAAAGTGGACGAAGACAACAAGAAAGATTAAATTTTCATCAGAGTAACAACAATATGTGTCTATCAATCTATTATCGGACAAATTTCATATAGAAACCCATGTAAACTCTGCCACTGATTAGGTAGTCAAATTTTCTTTATTGGTATAATCTTAAGTTTGAAATTTGATAAGTATAACTTATATATGATCTTTCACTGGATATTTTAGAAATCTTTTCGTCTATGACACTTGATTTGATGAAAATTGATCATAATTGAGTAACATATCATAGAAAGATGTATTGAGTGAGTAGATGTTTTATTGTCACTGTGATTGTGAGATAGTAGGTACTGAATTCTATTATTGACCATGGCTCATGCTTTGATGGGCGTGGGTGTGGCTGGGTCTGGATCTGAGTGAGGGTATAGTTCTTATTCACAATCCACGTTAGGGAAGTTAGCACAAGATTCGAGTTTTTCCAGCCCGGATTCGCCTATATGGTTGTGTTGGATGCAGAATTTTGCGTTGAATCGAATGGTGTAATTTTTAAAGGGGGTTGCCGATCAAAATCTGGCACTTGACCTGGAAATACTGCTTTTTCTGAAAACCTTGTAGAAGTAATTTCAGCCCGGATTCGCTGCTTTAGTTGTGTTGAATCTGAAAATGGTTGTGTTGAATTCAGAATGAAATTCTGCATCGAATAATGTTAAATTTGTATGGGGTCATCGACCAAAGTTCTTCGACGTGCGTGGTGCTGGAATATAGATTTGGAGGGATGAATTGGGTGAGACCAGAAATTTTTTGATCGATGACCCCATACAAGTTAAACATTATTCGATGCAAAATTTCATTCTGAATTCAACACAACCATATAGGCGAATCCGGGCTGGAAAAGCTCGAATCTTGTGCTAACTTTCCCAACGTTTCACATCCACGTCCAAAACAGCAAGCTTCTAAAGATAGATATAGTAATTTATTTACAAAAATGGTAGTACATTAGAGTACTGGTAGACCATTCCACTAAATTGAAACATGAATCTCGCATTAATACATCCATAGTTTTTGTTCTATGTGTTCTGTCGTGTCTGATTGGTCAAAACTAGTGCTGCCATAAAGTGCATTAATAGCTTATTTGAAAACTCAAATATAACTTGAATGCATCATTTTAAAAATTGAATCTAATGAAATGAATTAATAATCTAATATAAAATTAACAATATCTATGAAAAAGACTATATTAGTTAAAAGCGTTTAATGGTATTCATTGGATAACCAGCCGAATAGAGCTTGTTTATTTTTTCTTCATCTTCTATCTGAAACAGCTATTCGAATATTGGAAATATATCAAACAATAAAGTTTCTTTTTAATCGTTTTTAGATCAGAATAAAATTCGTATCATCATCTTAAGATGTCGTCAAAAGTTACTCGCGTAAGTTGAAACAAGCAAAATTGTTACCGATTTATTTTTCATGTTGTATAGGATATGTTGTTTGAAACGACACAAAATGTGTTAACATACTCCAATGAAACCAAGAAGCGTAAATTTGTTGAAACAGTCGAATTACAAATTGTTTTGAAAAACTTTGACCCATCACGTGATAAACGTTTCAGTGGTACTGTTCGTCTTCGTCATATTCCAAAACCAAAATTCACCGTCTGTGTTTTGGGTGACGAACGTCATTGTGATGAAGCTCGTGCTAACAATATTCCAGCAATGACCATCGATGACTTAAAAAAATTAAACAAGGATAAAAAACTCGTACGAAAATTGTCACATCAATATGATGCTTTTCTTGCATCCGATGTTGTCATCCGACAAATTCCTCGTATTCTTGGTAAGCTATTTGCACATAAATGAGAAGTTTATTCGAATGGTTTATTTTTGTTTAGGACCTGGTTTAAACAAAGCCGGTAAATTTCCAACAGCTATTACACATGGTGATTCATTGGTACAAAAAGTTGAAGAAATTAAATCAACAATTAAATTTCAAGCTAAGAAAACAATTTGTTTAGCTGTTGCCGTTGGTAATGTTAACATGACCGTTGAAGAGTTAGCGGCTAATATCAATTTATCGGTTAACTTTCTTGTTTCATTACTTAAAAAAAATTGGCAAAATGTTCGCGCACTCTACGTTAAATCATCCATGGGTAAACCACAACGACTCTATTAAAAACTAACAACAACAAGTCAAAGAACAACCGACAACAAGAATAAGAAAACAAATTCTTTTACTATCATCGTTGTTTTTGTTTTCTATGTATGTGCCTAAAGTTATAATAAAATAAATTTACGCATACAAATACAAAATAAAAAAAAGAAAAAGAATTGAATATCTTAGTGAGGTTTATTTTAATCCTAGATAGATTTTTCTCTCTCAAAATGAGCAGCATTTATCGACGGCACTCAGGTACTACCGACAGGTACGTTCAATTGTAATTCTTTTTAATTTTGTGATCTAAAATAACGAATAAAATTTGACGATATTATTTTGTGAATGATAGATAGAACACAGAAAAACAATTTTATGTTAATAAATGTGTAATTATTTTCTCTATGCCTATCTAATATTTGGTGTTGGTATGAATATCACAGCAGCTTCATGTATTTTTTACATGTGCGCGCATGATTGCATGAAAGAAGAGAAAGAAAAAAAATGGGGCTGCTAGTTGTATTCACTTGTCATAAATGCGCATTTCATTCTCAAAGCTAACTGCGCAAGCTAAGCCATAAACTTATAATAGAAACGCTTTATTGAATACTAAAAAACCATATGCCAGAGAAGAAAAAAAAGAAAGAACAAAAACCGACCGTTAAAAATGGTTCGATTTTAACAGATGATGAATACAGCACTATGAGGTGAGAAAAAAACTAAAATATATTTTTGTTTTGCTTTTTTTTCTTTGAAAGCTGCTCAATTGAAATGAACATAGTCTAAAGAAAAACTAATTATTGTACTTTTCTATTTCTATCCCTAGTGATTCAGATAGGGATGATGAAAGTACTCAAGTTGACTCAACAAGCATTTCACCATCCGCATTGAAACGTCGTGTAAGTTTTCTTCCAAAAAAGAAAAATAATATAAATGGAAAAGTATCAGCAAAACCATCACCAACGAGTCCAACAACGTCAACAGCAACTCCAGTCGGAAAAATGCGTCGACGACGTCTACGTACTACAAGTCGTTCTGGCGATGATCGTATTTCATTTCAGGGTCGGAATCCAATTTACACAGCAGGTATTCATACAAATCACAAAAATAAAATTTGTCATGCTTGATTTCAATCTTCTACTTAAAAAAAAACAAAAAAAGGCCGTCCAGCTTGGTATGATGCATCAGGTGAAATAAAAGAAGCATTTGTTATTGGTATTTGTGGCGGTAGTGCTAGTGGTAAAACAACTGTATCACAAAGAATTGTTGAGAAATTAAATGTACCATGGGTAACTTTGTTAAGTATGGATTCATTTTATAAAGTAAGAAGAAATTTAAGAAGAAATATTTAATTTATTGCATATAAAACTTAAGGTTCTTTCTGATGAACAACATGAACAAGCTAATGAAAATAATTATAATTTTGATCATCCTGATGCATTTGATTTTGATCTTCTACTTGAAACCTTAAAAAACCTCAAAATGGGTCGACAAGTACGGTAAAAATAAATCCTTAAACATATTCAATGTTGTTTATTTTCGACTAGGTCGATATTCCATTGTATAATTTTACTACACATTCTCGGGAAACTCATACAGTAAGTTATATGAATAAGAAACAAAAAGAAAAATAGAAATTATGATCATTTTATTATCTATAGAAAATTCTTTATGGTGCTAATGTAGTCATTTTTGAAGGAATTTTGGCTTTTACTAGTAAAAAAATTCTTGATGTGAGTTATGAAAATTCAGCTTTTCTATTTCTTTTGTTTCTGTATGAATAGATTCTTGATATGAAAATATTCGTCGATACGGATGCAGATATTCGTCTTGCACGTCGCCTCGAACGTGATATAACTGAGCGCGGACGTGATATAGATGGTGTTATACAGCAATATACACGCTTTGTGAAACCCTCGTATGATCATTACATTGCACCAACAATGATTTATGCAGACTTGATTGTTCCTAGAGGTAAACATTCCGAACTTTTTTTCTTCTCATATTTCAAATAAATTTTCGCATCTAATAAATATGCCAAGAATGTATTGAGGGTCTTTTATCAATAATAAAAAACGCAAAACAACACTAAAGAAAAAATTTTTGCTTTCTCTGTGTTTGATAATTGCACGTAAATTACGTTTATTTGTCATGCACAATAAATTAATATTGATCTTGTGACTTAATTAGGCAAGAAAAAGCATGCCTTATGTTTTTTTGTCCTTACCGATATACAGGTTAGGGTAAAACTTGACAGTTAGTAATATGTTTAAGGATAAAATTTTCAGTGCAATCAAAATTATTTGCACTGTTCAATGTTGTAGTGCAATGAAATATATCTAATTAGGTGAAAATGGTTGAGACTAGAAAACTGCCATGTATGACTGTGACTCTGGATGCAACAATAAGAATTTAAAAAATGCATATTTTAACCTTGTAGGTGGTGAAAATCAAATTGCTATTGATTTAATTGTGCGTCATGTGAATCGTGAACTTCAAAAAGTATGATGAATTTGTCTACTGTGGTTCAGTGAAATATTTTATTTTTATTAGCGTGGTGTAAAAGTAAGAAATGAATTAGTTAATCGGTTAGGAGTTATGTGTGATTTACCCATGCCTAATACATTTTATCTTATCGAACAAACAGCACAAATAAAATATCTTCATACAATAATAAGGTATGAAGAATTTAAATCATTTTCAATTTAAGATGAACTATATTCTTATTGTTGTCGAATAGAAATAGACTCACTGGTCGTGACGAATTTATTTTCTATTCTAAACGTCTCATGCGAGTATTAATTGAATATGCTCTATCATTATTACCGTTTGAAGTAATTTTGTTTTGTTTTTGATTTTCAAAAATATTTTTTTAATAAAAAATAATTCTTCTAGGATGTCAGTGTTGAAACACCTCAGGGTCTTTTTTATAAAGGAAAAAAACATGTTTACGCTAATGTAAGTTTTTGTTCGAGTCTTAAAGAAAAAAAAAAGAAACCATGCATTTATTCGATAGGTTTGCGGCGTATCAGTAGTTCGAGCTGGTGAATGTTTAGAACCGGCATTGATTGAAATTTATAAAGATGCTAAAATTGGTAAAATTTTAATTCAAACAAATCAATTAACTGGTGAACCAGAGGTAACGATACGCTACGATATTTGTTAAGACTTAAAAGTGTTTGATTTTTATAAATAGCTTCATTTTCTTCGATTACCGCGTGATATTTCTGATACTTATGTATTTATTCTTGATGCAACTATCGGTAATATTGGATTTCTTTGTTTTTCTTCTTCTATTAAAAAAATTAAATATTTAAATTTAGCTACTGGAGCAGCAGCATTAATGGCAATACGAGTTTTATTAGATCATAATGTGCCTGAAGATAAAATTGCTCTTCTCTCATTATTAGTATCAAAACAAGGTTAGAGTAAAAGGAACTTTTTTAACATATCGCTAATTTATTTTATATAGGAGTGCTAACAGTTGCTTATGCATTCCCAAAAGTTAAAATAGTCACAACAGCCTATGATACACAATTGGATCAAGAAACAGGCTTTATATGTCCAGGTTTAGGCAATTTCGGTGATCGATATTTTGGTACTGATCCAATAGTATCAGACAATGAAGATATCATCTATGGTCAATGCGGTTATGTTAGTTCGCAATCAGTTACGCCAAATTCACCTCAGCAATCATCAAAATTAAATCATTCGAATCGAGATCTATCTCCATTGAATACATTACGATCAAACGATCACGAAGAAGTATTCCAAAAGATATAATGGTGCTAATATTATCTAACCTAGTCGGTAGTAAAAAAAATAAAACAACGTGAACATTCCGAAATTTATGCGCAGCTTGTCAGTAATAAATCCGATGTTACTGTTTTTTTTTAATACATCGGAATTATGATATTATTAAAGAGGTCTGGCGAATATATATAATTATAATCTCTGTGTCACTCTGCTTTTCTTTTTTTTTGCTATCGTTGTTGGTTTTGTTTACTTTTGCTGATAAACGCTTCAATAAAAGTGATGAACGTTTGTGTTTTGATCGATTTGTTTGCTAGTTCAAGATAGAAAATAATTCATAGGAGAAAGAATGATTCAAAAAACAAAAATCATTTTCAGATGTCATCGTCAACTGATGATCTTAATAAGAAACGTACTGAAGACAATATATCCTATAGACCAGGAACCTTTCGTTATCACGATGTACCACCAAATGAACGGAGAAAACTATTTGACGATCGACAAAATGAACTCAATCCGTGTCTCAAAGTAAGAAAGTTAAAATTAATCAATATAAACACTGGAACCGAACAGTTTGTTAGATTTAGAAAGAATATTTTTTAAGATAGAACTGCTATGATTTGAATTTCGACATGACATCGGAAAGTTCTATTTGTATTTAGGAATCAGAAATTTCAAATGCTTGTTTAATGATGAGTGGTGATGATTACAGTAGATGCCACGCTCAAGTGGAAAATTATAAAACATGCAAGCGCTTTTGGGTAACTCTATAACATTTGTTCATCGTCGATCGATATGTTTTTTCGATTATCTAGACAGCTGTAAGAAATTTTGCTACAGTCAATCATTTATTGAGAAATGATGGATTTCCACCATTATATGAACGACCTATTTGGTGAGTTGTCTTATTCATAGACTACAATGTTTTCGTGATTGTTTATTTTTTTAATCCACAGGAAGAAACAACTTCATACTTGGATTCAAACAAAGAAACTAACCATACCTGAAGAACTCAAACCTTTAATATAAACAATGTCAATTAATGTTTTTTTTTTGTTCACAAGATTTTGTAGATAACAAGTTTAACAACACTCGTTCTAGAATTTACAACGGCTGTTTTTTCTCTCAACAAAAATTTAAAAGAAAATCGAATCTTACTTGATTTTAAATTTTCGTTTTCAGATAGGAGAATGTTTCGCTTTCACTTTCGTTTACGTTCTCCATTATTAGCTTTGGCATCTTCAGCTCTCTTCGGTCATTCATCATCGAAAGAATCTAAAGCTATTCCTGTTCAAAATTCATCTGAACTACCGCGAACGCCCTATCAACATGTCAATTGTACTGGTTTTGAATGTGTTCGTGAATCATCAATGATTAATCTATCAGCTTCATCGTCGTTTCTTAAACATACGTTATATTATTATTCTGAGTTAACTCAACATTATTGTGTTCATATATCGACAATGATTGGACTTCTGGAGGAATATAAACGACGCGAAGGTGCAGGAAGTTTTCAACAAGAAATTTGGGATATTTATGTACAACATCGTGTTTCATTAGGCGAAATGAAAACCGAATTATTACGTTTACGTTTACTTTTATCGACCATTGATCGTCTTGTTACAGAATCTATTGATGCTTCTTACCAAACACAAGATGAAACAGTAACACAACTTGTATCGAATGAATTAATTCAGACTAAACGTATTATAGAACAAAATGAACAACTAATAAGTAGGACTGAAATGAGTTTAACTACTGAACAAGTAAAAATAATCGAGAAAAATAAAGATACGAGTGATGCGAAAGTTTCTGATGAATAACAATCGGATATGCATTATTTTGATATTTTATTTTTAGAATATACTTTAAGATAATGAACTAAATGGATGAAAATTTCATTTGTTCAAATTCTGAAGCATGTCTTCAATTTATTCATTATAAGTTTGATTATTATAAAAACATTCTCGATGATGATCAACAGACATGTGATAATGCAATTGCTTTTATTAGACAACAAGCATGTTTATACAATGGCGACGATGATGATGATGATGATGATGAAAAACCTCGATCAATAACTGGATTTGATAGAATTCAATTAGCTAATCAATTAGATTATTTTGAACAGGAAGCTTGCAAAACAAGTGAAGAAAATAAAACATGTATTTATTAAACCCAATTAAATATGAATATAATTTATATTATTAGTCTAGTTTTAAGTCGATAAAAAATTGATGTTGTATGCTTCATTTGTTTTTCGGGTTCATTATCCGAAAAGCTGTTCAACCATTAATAGTCATATTAGATAGTTTTTAGCATATAAGTAAATAAAAAAATCTATTTATCTATTTTAGGCTTATTTAAAATGTTCCAAAATTTATTCAATTTACATCGTCAAGGTGCTTTTGAGAGAGTGCGAATCAGTGAACATCAAATAGCTGAATCATTCCAATATAGACCTTCTGTGTTAGCTAATATTGAAAAGCTTCGTCTTCCAATGAACAGTATAACATCTTCTTCATCTATACATTCCGAGAAAAATCATGCCACGTTTACTGCAACGCCAACACCGAATACCTCATTGGCAACTCCAGTTCGTTCAACAAGTTTTAGCAATCGAGCTGATATTCAAGCTTTTCAACAAAAGAAAAATCCTGTTTCTCTGAAAATACTTCCAGCCATTGAAAGCAATGAAATTGATTTAACAAAACTCATTCGAGAAACCAATCAAAATAAAACGTATGTACTCTCAATAGAGTTTATTATTGTCTAAGAGTTTTAATTGTTTCTATTAGATCTGGCGATTTTCAATTTTCGAAAATGTCACAACATTTACGACAACAACAACAACAACAACAACAACAACAACAACAACAGAAAAAAACCACTATGACATTGTCAAAGAAATTATCTCACCAATCGATATCATGTGATGACGCTTTACTTGTCGGTGCTAATAAACGATACGTTCTTCTTTATAATATGAATATTTCAAGCATACTTTATTTATTTGACACGCAAACAAATGAAAGCAAAGAAATTCTATGGGATGAAGGTATTTTCGTAAGAAGAATTTACGAAGTTTTTTTTCTTCTTCTACATCATATAAGAACTGACTCGATAAAAGATTTGTTTAGAACACTAATCTATAGATGAATTGTTGTTTTATACTGTGAGTTTGAATGCCAGTGCAGGTGTTAATATAAACCTAATTGGATTTAGTTTTTCACAGAATTATTTTCTCGCCCTCTCTAATAGTGTCTGTGTAGAATTTTATTGATAAGTTAATCTCTTGACAATAACCATAACAGAAACATAGCGACAACTCATTGAAAATTGCTTTTCTGAATGAACATTGAGGTCCATTAATGAATGAATTATTCTCGTCACGTAGTATCAATGCGACTAGAAATAAAGACTCACGATGTATGTGTAGTCAACAATCATATAAATGATGAATTGTCCATTAAAAACTTAATGTATAGACATAATTTTAATATTTTTTCATCATCTCATGTTGATTCCATCGAAAATTCTGCCTAGGATTTTTAGGATAGTGTTCAAATTAAAAAAGAATTAATTTACATATTTCTAGAACTAGTACGAATTTTACTGGCAACTATTTATAAACGTAATATTGTCTCATAAGAGATGCTTGCTCTCCAGAGGCTTTCGTGCACGTAAGATCACGAAGATTATCTTCAGTAAGCATAAACCACACTCTAATAGCAAAGCATATATTATTATAAAAAGGTGTTGTATAATTATCGTAAGTTGTGAAGCTCTCTCTCGAAAACCAAACAACAACAACAACAACAACAAGGAAAGCCTGTAACCAGCCAATGCTAATGGCTGAGATTTATTAAGTAGGCCATACTAAGAACAATTAATGTTTAAATAAACTAGAGTTCGTAGGCTCTCTTTTCAAGGTATATATGATTTTAATTAGTTTTCCGCATGGGAGCCAGGCATTATTGAAGATTTCTCATTAAAGCACTTCTGCAAACTAATTCATCAGTTGTACCATGGTGAACGCAAACCGAGATCACATCTTCAAAATTTTTATAACATCAAATTAATTGTTTCCTTCAGTGTATATTTAAAAAAAAAACAACATCTAGGCGATTTATCCACCTAAGGAGAAAAACTGAATACTGTCCAAATTGTAAAGTCTATTGACATAATTTGAATTATAAATATGTGAAACTTGAATGTATCAATTTACGCATTGGTATTCACAGCTTATATTTTATATTAGCTAGTTTAACGATGAAAACATTCATTAGAGTCGAATATAATCAATGTCTGTAACTTAGAGTGCACGACCTTGTTCATTATCAAACCTACTAACAACTGAAGAAAAATGCGTAACAAATTGATCGATGTAGATCGGTTGTGAATAATTCTTTGTACGATTCTGTATTCGATGCACCAACTCAATGATTACTTTATTACTAATATCCTTAAATCCTTCATTTTCCACGCATGCGTTCATTTTATTCAATTATGTAGACAAAAAACAGACACGTAGTTTGCACAACAAAATGAACAGTCATCATATTTTCAGAGTTCTGTCTACACATCACTATATTATATAGATATATAAGAAGCTGTCATGTTGAACCTAAGTCTCATAAATAAAAAACTGATCAATGTTTCAGAGCGTGTCGAAATATTCTAATCAATATACTTAGAAATCATTAGTTCTATGCATCTCATAAAGATTAATACGAATTTTAATCGAACCGGAAAGATTGTATTATTTATTCTATAAATTTTAATTTAATTTTTTTCTTCTTCTTCTTCAGGAGATATTCTATCAATTGGCCTTGTTGAGAGTAATATATTCTATATTATAACTTCAACAAAAATATTTCTTTATGATATAATTAAAGAAAATATAGCTTCACAATATTTTCTCTATGATACATTATATAAAGATTTATTATTAATTACGGCAAATTCATTTTATCAAACTCTTTTAAAGCGTAATAATCAAATTCAATCAACTGTTTATGATGATTATTGTTATTATTTATATACAAGTAAAGACTATAGTCAAATATTTATTAAGTGTTTAATAGACAATTTTTTTCAAGAAACAAATATCAATCTAACAAAATTACATCCTGATATTCAATATTTTCTTAGTTTTACAGTAACACAAAAATCATTAATAACATTTCTCATTGGTGATTCAAGTGCATATCAATTATTAGTCTGTGATGAAATTCAAAATTTTAATATACTTAAAATAATTCCAATGAATAATTCAATTGAACCAACAAAAATGATAACAACATTTGCCTCGAAAATGATAAATTATTCGCCCGCAAAAAATAAAAAAAAAGGGATTATTAAATATGGTAAACAAGTTTGGTTTATTTTGGATAAAAAACGAAACTGTATCGATTGTCTTACACACGAAGAATATCTAACTAAAATTGAACCAAGAGGAAATGATCAAATTCAATCGATTTCACTCTTTGATGATAAACTTATTTTAGCTTACAATCAATTATCCATAGAAATAATTGATCTTGACAAGTATTTCTCTTCTTTTGAATTTTAGTACCAGTTACTTATTTTGTTTTTGTTTTTCTTTCCGAATTACTAAAAGAAAAGGAAACGCTGTAGACTTATGAAATATTCTTCTAATTATTCAATTTGATAATCAAAATGTGAATCTTATTTCCTTTCATAAAAGATAAATTTTTGAAATAAAAGAAACATAAACTCTATATTATTATCGAGTAATTTGTCATTTTGATTTTATTTTCAAGCAATAGAACAAAAAATAAGAACTATTCTTCCGAAAATTTGTTTCTCTTATTTTGGATTTTGTCGCCTTTTGTATATACTCTCGTCATCGTCAAATGGAAAAGCAATGGAAACCCGATAGATGACGAGCAGAATGATGACATCGACGAATAATATATGTATTTGCCAATTGAATTATGAATTTGAGTGATGGATGTAATGATGAAGATGCAAGAGAAGCTTGCTCAGTCTTCTATCTGGACCTCTATATTGTTTCGGCGACATGGCTTTTTTTCTTTTTCTTTTTTTTTCTACTTCAAAAAAGAGCCAAGAGGAAAACAGTGAAAGAGAGAAAAATCATCATCCAAACAAACACATAGTCGAATAGACAGAGCGCAAAATAAAACAGAGAAATAGAGAAAGAGAAGAGAGAACCGCCGAAGAGTTAGTCCCGCTTTCTCAAATGGAACAACTTGAAATGTCACTATGAAAACAAAACTATCTGTAGTTGATCTTCATTTCAACATAGTCAATATAATACTGATTCATTGAGCGATGCTCATCATTTACTATCAATTGGAAGACAATAATTACAAAGAATATGGGCTGTGTTTCATCTAAAAAGAAGTTATCCAAATCGGACTTGGAATTTCTCGAAGAAAATACTGAATTTACTAAAGATCAAATTATTGAATGGTATGAAGGTTTTATTGTAAGTATAAATAAAAATGACATATGCAAAAACAAAACACGAAGAATAACTTTTCTTTTTTCTTGTGTATACACATCAAATAATCATATGGCTCATCGGCACTGTGAAATTGCTTTTCCTGTTAGAGCCTATGTTAGAAACTAAATGATGTTCAAACCACTCTGGACTTACATTTCCTTACTCACGCTTTATTGCCTCATTGCGCCTCGTCTCTATTATAATAGGACACGCAAAGCAAGTTACAAAAACTCCTCTCCCCCCTCTTCTGACTTTGTCCGCTGACTGCATCTAAAGATAAATTCAGCCTAAATAAGTTTCTCATTTGATAGCCATTAGTAAAATCCTACCCATATGCATATTTTAAAAAGACAACAAGGGTTGAGCTAAAAAGTCTATCGAGTAAGCACACATACACAAATATTGATTATTATCATCATCATCTATCAATTCTTTTTTTTCTTTTTGTTTATGATTTGCATAAATTTTTTGCTCATTCAATTGTTTATTCACACACCATTGTTCACTTTCCCACTAAGGTTAAAAGGATCAGTTAGTGTACGTGTTATAATCATTGAAACAAAATTGATGGGTAACAAAACAAATTTTGACGTTCATTCTCTTTCTCCTAGGATTTCCCATGGCAAATCACAAATTAATATAACAAAACGTTTTCCATAGATGATTTGTTTTTTTTGCTCTCTCTCTCTCACTCTAGACATTCATTCAGTGGTGGGATGTGCCGCTCGGTAGGTCACGTCGTTTGACGGCAGATTTTAGATAGACTACTAAACAAAAACAAAATATGTATGCGGAAATAAGGAATAATCATCAACATAGTGCGAGAACGACTAATAAATTTAAATATATAATTTTATTTTACTTGGACCCATGTACTGTCTTTAGGCATAGGAATCATTCTCTCTCTCTTTCTACATACATACAGCTAATAGAGACAATAGAAGAAGCAAACAACTCGATTTTTAATCGATAAATATAAAAAAAGATATAAGATAAAAAAAACACAATAAAGAACAATCAATTTACTAATGCTAGCAGTACTCATCCAATAAGGTTAGTGTTCTTTATGTCCCAGAAGACATAAAGAGGTCGCGTGAATGAACATATACAATGATACTTTGTATAGCTAGAAAAAAATTCATTCTACCATGAAGAACTGTATACAATTGATTAAGTTTGGAGTATAGAACGCAAAAAGACGAAAAAAAAGGAACTACATATTCTCTAATATCTGAGTGTATTTTTATTTTAGTATATACTCAGAGGCGGCGGAGCGTCATTAAGCTAGGTGAGGCTCATAATATTTTTTTTTCTATTGTGGAATTTTATGAAAGCATCAAGCAGAAAATAAATCTTCTTTTTATTGAACTTCAGTAAAAGTAAAAATGGCCAGTATAAAAACGAAGATTGGAAAATACCAAAATACACTTTTCTTTACTGCTATTTTGATGCATGAATAGAAAAATAGCAATAAACAGTAAAAGATCAAGGGAGGCTGAGCCTCATTTGCGAAATCTAGGTGAAGCTCAAGTCTCATGGGTCTCAGTGACTTCACCGCCCCTGTATATGCTGTTTGTCACGATGACTATTTTAGGAGTGCATTTTCATTCTTTTTTTTATACTTTATTTCGATAGTATAGAAATTATCTATGAAACAAAACTTTAATGGATGCTTTTTAGAATTAGAACGGAAAAGAAGTTGTCTGTCAATAAACGGAAACTACTAAAATATTTTCACAGTAAGGTACTGATTACTTTGCTACTAGTTTCCTTAAAGGAAATTTAGCTTAACTCCAACATGAATATTTTTTTATCTATTTTTTCGTGTTACATTGACAATAATATATTCTAAATTATTCATGTTATATGAATCGATTTTTTTCATAAAAATTTTCACTTGATATTTAATCTTTTGTTATATACTAATCAAAAAGATCTTCATTTTACAATTCAGATCAATAACTTTGAATCCATTTCGATTAGTAAACAGTCTGATTTTAGTGAACAAAATGCATCGTTACTAAAAATAAAGCGTGACAAAATTCTCATGAGACACATCTTAGAAAAACATCTCCTCTAGTAATATAATTATGTCGTCCTATTTTCAATTTTGGTCAAAGTGCCCCGAAAAATGTTTGATGAAATCGAAATAACAGTAACAAATAGTATTTGTAAATACTAAAGTATACGTTATTTTGTAGAACAAAAATGGACTTTTGACCGTGTCTAATTGTATTAAGATTTATTTGAGACAATATATAGCACAGGGATCATATGTTAATAATAAGTAGCTTGATATATATATATCAATGAATTAAAACTTCGGTAATCTATTATAATGGCCCATTGGAAAAATGAAACCAAAAGATCATATTATTTTTGCCTTGGCATCGTTTTTTCTTTTCTATCATCACACAGCGAAAAAGCACTTTGACTAAATATTTATATTCATCGATTGAAATGAATGGTCTCATCGTTATAGAACAAGAAATCCTTCACAGGGCATTGAACATTTCTATTTTGACATTAATCTTATGCTTGTCATTATTAGAATAATAAATCTTTTCTGTTTCTTAATTTATTTCTCTAGCTTGATTGTCCCAATGGTGAATTGACAAAGAAAAAATTTATTCAAGTCTATCGTCAATTTTTTCCTAATGGACAAGCGGAAGCATTTTGCACACATATATTTCGCACGTTCGATGCTGATAATTCAGGCAAAATCGATTTTAAGTAAGTTTCTGGTTTTATTTTTTTTTCGGAACTACAAGAACAAATAAGTAACATTAGCACTTGTCTCATAAACATGCATATTTGACTATTTCCGTTTTATGTTATTCATTAATATAAACATATAAAAATCGATCAATCATTGTGTCATCATAAGCAAATGCTTTCATGCTAATCGATTACTTCTATTATGCTGGGATTTGTCTTTGTCTTTGTCTTTGAATATTGATAATGTGAATTGTTAAATAACAATGGCCTTTTTCTTTTTCTTTTTCTTTCAATAGAGAATTTCTAATGGCAATTAATATAACAGGTACATATTTTTATTGTTATTGTATGTGTCATTATAAACAAAAAAATGTTCGTTTGATTTTTAGCGAAAGGCAATCCTGAAAAGAAATTAAAATGGGCTTTCAAAATGTATGATATTGACTCAAATGGAAGTATTGATCGACAAGAAATGCTAAAAATTATTGAAGTAAGAATGAAGTCTTTTTCTTTTCTATAAAAATATTTTTTCTTTTGTCTATAGTCTATCTATGATTTACTCGGCGCTGGTGGTTCACAAAATGCATCGAATGGGATGAATCCAAGTCGTGATCCCGATGATACACCCGAAACTCGAACATCTCAAATATTTGCTGTTATGGTAAGATAATTTTTCTTTTGTTTGCATCTAGTTCAGCTTCATAACTAATTTCTATTTGATTTTGTAATAGGATGAAGATAAAAATGGGTAAGAATCTTTATAATTATTTCTCTTGTATCAATTTTGTTGTGTACCTTTCTATAGAGTTATTACAGAAGAAGAATTCATTCGCGGCTGCATGTCTGATCGAGTTCTATATCAAATGTTAACTGCCGATACAGGCGATCCGGACCGATAATAACTGATTTTGTGTGAATTATTCAACTTTCCTCAAGTAGTTCAATTGATTAATTTATCCAATGAACTTTACTTAGAGTCATTGATAATCATGTTTATATGCTTGAAGAAAAACAGTACCAACGTTTGTTTTTCTTTTGACACTTCCATCTCTTAATATAAACATTTTGAGTCCTGTTTTTTTTGTTTTATTTCTTGTCTTGTGACTGTCAGAGTATATATTATGCTTATATAAAGTGTTTTTTTTCTTTTCTTTTCTTTATTCAAGTAAAGAATAATAATAAGATAAAAAATTACTAAATAAAAAAAGATGGCAATTAAATTTAAACGGAAATTCATTTGACTACAAAATATTTTATGAAAGGACAAAATTGAAATTTTCAAATGAGTTTTCTTGAGAATGATGAAGCTTTTTCTTTAAAGAAATTAATTATTTTCAATGAATAAATGAATGACTATCCTACCTATTATGATTTGGCTCAGAACAGAAAACATAATTTACTGCATAGAATTTCGAAGTACAAACGTTCTTTTCCTCTACTGAAATATTTACATGACAATGCCAACTAGATTTTCTAATAAAAGAATATTATATCATATGTTATATACTTAATGAAGTTTTCTTTTATTATCAAAATAACCTTTTATATTAATTGAAAAAGATCTATGAATATGAAACTTATTTAATCGTGAATCAAAATATAGCTTGTCATTATCCATATGAGAAAGCTGTATTTAAATGAATTTTCTCCTGGCTGATTACAAAATTGAAATATGTCTTATTATTTTAGCCATTAAACTTAGCGTCTAACAATGCAGAGAACATTTCCATTGTCTTTGTTGTTGATTTTGTTCAGGCGAATAGTTTTTCTATTTCGATCACACAAAGAAATTTGAATCTCTAAACGATTCAATTCATCGCACTAAATGATTTCGATAGCTACGAATTGAGTAGAGATACACCGGTTTAAGATTCAGATTAAAACTTAATCGACTTTATATATATATGTCGAATGGAATTCAACGCTTCATCGAAGCACTGTGTATAATGAAATCTAATAAAGTGCTTCAGGATTAACCAGCCAACGCCTGTTCCACATCACCGTTTTAGGCAGAGTCATTGAAATCATAATCATCAATAATAGCATTTCACTTTATCCTAACTACTTGATGAAACATTGCTAAATTCAATCTTTTGATACGGTGATCATTTGCCCGCAATAATGCAAGGAAAATTCGAACCACATTTTGACGCTCAAAAGAGCAATCAAAAATCATCACGATAACGTGTAGAGTTCTCAGTGAATTTATAGATATTGTATAGACACTATCAAAGGAGGCGTACGCTCATATCCTGTAAGCAGATCATCGCACTTCCACTTCTATCGTCTATTTAATAAGCCATAAGCGTCATGGTTATGGAGACTATCAGGCTAAGTCACATGGTATCTTGTTCTTGTCTCAAAACATTGACTGGGCATTTTCATATTCTATTCTTTCGATTGTAATAAGATATTCTAAGCCGCACAATATCAGTCTTATCATATAACTACTTTTATGTATCCTACACTCTAAAAAAAAACGTAGTTTTACCGAATCCTCCAAAAAGGTTTCATAGGCGTCTAAAAGCCTCAAAATACGTTCGCAGACTTGAAAAAGCGATTCTTAAAATCTACGAAACCTTTTTTCTCTGTGTAGAACTTAAAAAAGACTCGGCAGGAGATGGTTCGGATCGTCTGCCCGCAATCAGATTCTTTTAAGGTTTCGTAGATCTTAAGAATCGCTTTTTCAAGTCTACGAACGCATTTGGAGGCTTTTAGACACCTATGAAGCCTTTTTGGAGGATTCGGTAAAGTTACCATTCGGAAGCGTACCACTCAATACACGACTTTCTTCAGATTAGCTGAAATTGACACGATTTGTCGAGCTCAGTAAGCTAATCATTTTGGTACAAAATACGTATAGGCTAGCATATGGACTTCAGTCAAAATTAGCAGAAATACGATTTCACGAATTTTTGAAATAAATAAAAGAATCCATCTATTGTGAGAACATTATCTCCCATATTTTAACATTCAGAACAACAAACTATATATATTCTGATAGCCCAAGCTCAGCTCTATCGAGCTTCAAACGAACAAAATCGCTCTACTCTAGAAACAAAAAAGATTTTTAGCACTGCACTCGACTTTACTACAGAAAAAGGTAAACTCATTCTAGCAGAACCCTTCCGAATTTGGCTGAAAATCGGTATAATACATTTTGTAGAGCGTCAACTGCTCTATCTTCTGGTGTACATATTTTCCACCCGACTTTTATTCTTGTCCACTAGATACCCTAGATGTTTTTCCACTCCTGTTTTTGGTTAAATTTCAGTTCCAATCTGAGAATTTTTATAGAAGCGATTGCATGAAATGGTGTGAAAATTTCAATTCAACCAGATCTCAAGTAGTGGATGACAAAGATTGTGAAAGTTTACAACCCAGCACGTTTTCTTTCATATCGCACTATGGTTGTAATGCATAAAAATCATCGTTACATTGTTTTATTTTGAAATTTATCTTTCTCAATAAAACTTGTTGGAGTATTTTTTTTCTCATGAGAATGTGTGGATCTCAAAGATTTAACTATTTCTTTCGAATACTTCTATTCTTGTTAACCTCAATACTAATTTTTCAATTGTTCCAATATCAATATATCCTACATGAGTAAAACATTTTTCATATTCAATTCCGAGAGGTTGATAAAGCGTACATCGTATTGTTTCTTCAGGAAATTGACCAGTTGGAATGAAGCAAGATACTTTCCTTTCGGATCTGATGGTGCGCGTTCAACGTTGCTTGCTCCACTGTGTCGCACAGGATGAGAACACCACGCTTTTGACTGAGTCATCAAATTCAAAGACAATAGATTGTTCACAGAAACAATAAATTCAACAATACGATTTGCGACACTCACTCTAAAAAAACTAGGTTTTTTACAGAACCTAAAAAAGATTCTTATCCTCGGCACACCGTCAGATCCTTTTTTTGGTTTTGTAAAAGTGAGGTTTCGTATCAACCCCCTTCACGAAAATTTAAAAAAAGGGTTTCGTAGCAATGGTTTCGTACAAAGCCTTGTAGAAATCATTCAAAAAAAGGTTTCGCACCCGACAAAGGTTCTGTTGAAAATTTCATTTAACTCTCTGCTGCCGCCCGCGGTATGCACACTATTCAAGTATTTCTCAAAACCCGAGTATGGTGTACATCAAATGCATCAAAAGTAAGATGAAATAGTCTATAGAGTAATTTTCTGCATTCAAGGAAAATCATTCTAAAGACTATTTCATCTTACTTTTGATTCATTTGATGTATACCATAGTCGGGTTTTGAGAAAAACTCGAATAGTATGCATACCGCGGGCGACAGCACAGGGTTAAAGCAAAAGTCACCCGTGATTTCCATAATTGAAACAACCAAAAATACGGAAACGAATAAATATAATCATTTTATAGGATCAAACTTACTTCACTATTCTTTTACGTGAAACAATCTAAAATAAACAAATTAGCGAAAATTTATTATTTCTCAAAATCAGACTTACCTAAAACTCCATATCTATATTAACCTAGAATTACAAAAACGAATAGTTCTTTGATTTGCTAAGAGAGAACTTACCTAAAACTACGTATAAGCATCAACCTTGAACAAAAAACAAATCAAATAAATTAAATTATACACGATCAAACTCACTTGAAATTCCCTCTTTGAGGCCTTCTATAATTAAACAGAACATATTTCTATTATTTTACGAAAAAAAAACTTAAAACCTTCTACATGCATGAATCAATAACAAAGAAAAAAATTATTCTCTTTCATCGCATCAAATTTACCCCATAATTGACGGTAGAGTTGAAATAAAACGTGAACCATGTGAAATTTGGACTCCTGATCGGCGGATTTTCTCAGCCATGAAAGCCCGGAGAGAAAAACTGATAACGGATTTGGACTCAGGGACCCCGATAAGCTATAGGAAACTTTGATCAGAATTTAGATCAGAGTTGAAATAAATAGTCTACCTTATGAAATTTGGATTCATGATCGGCGAATTTTCTCAGCCATGAAAGGTCGGATGCAAAAACTTATCACGGATTTGGGCTCTGGGAGCCCAATAATGTATAGAAAGTTTGACATATATAAAAAGCCTGTGAAAAGTGTATTGCAAAAACTAAGAAACCTTGAGATAGTGGACGAAACGAGCGCTAATTTGGTCGGTATTTTACAAAACCTTAAAGCACACCAGAAAGGGTGAAACAGTTGGATAGAAATAATACAAAAATTTTGGATCGTGAACAAATATATCAGTCGGTTTGTGGCAAAGATTCCAAACCTCGAGAATGTCTACGGAACTTTCAGTGGTTTGGTACAAAATATACGAAACTTTGACATGGATAATAAATTGGAAATCGGTCAGCTCAACAAGTACGAAACCTTCGGACGGTCCGCGAAACCAACAGTGGTTCCGTGGACGTATTACGAAACCTTAAAGCCGAGTAGCAAGTAGGGGTGGGCCATTAACATTAATTTAAAAATTAATGTTAATGTTTTTCATTAACCATTAATATTAATGTTTAATGTTTTCTGAGAAAAACTCAGTTCATTAATATTAATGATTAATGAAAAGCATTAACATTAATTTTTAAATTAATGTTTTCATTAATCATTAATATTAATGTCAATGTTCTTGAATGATATTAACGGTTAACGGAAACATTCACCATTAGTATGAAGTAATGTTTTCGTTAATATTAGGGATTATATTTTCATTAATCATTAATATTAATGTTAATGTTTTCATTAAAATTAATGACTTAATATTAATGGTTAATGTTTTCATGAAAGCATTATAACTGTCCATATTAAGTAATTAACACTTTCGGAGAAAACATTAGCTATTAAGACCAGTTAATTGATTAATAATTGTAGGTAACGTTTCCTTAGAAAAACCTAATTCAGTAATATG